TTAGCCAAGATCCCACCAAAAGCTGAACAGGGATAAGTTTCTCTTAATCCATGTTAATTTTGAGTGGAAAATGTGGGAAAGGGGCCACCAAAGTGGCTGGAAACACATCTGAGGGGAGTGCTGGGGTCATTTCCCTATCAAAGGAATAATTAACACCCCCCCCCCCCCAATGTTTGTAAAGTTAAGATTTATTTATAAATATTAACCAGCCAAACAGGACAAAAATCACTCGTGGCCTTTGTCTCTCAAATAATATTTGAACAACTTAGATTTAAGGCAATTTAACTGGGAGGTGCAACTTAATTCTGCCAGGGAGAACACAAAACCTTTAGCAAAAGAAATCAAAAAATACATTAAAAAGTTGCACTCTTCATGCTGTAATGACGCAAACTCAGCTTATTTCTCAATTAGAGAGACCCACATTAAAAATTTAACAGCCAATTGCAAGAGTTAAAGGCCAAAGCCAACTTCCCACTTGTCCTGAGCCATCAGGACCTGCCCTCAAAGCCACCAGCTCTGCTCCCAGCACTGCAAATGAAATGAGGAGCATTTAAATAAAATCAATAAATGGGCTGGCTTCTATTGGTGTTATCTCCAAGCTCTGCCTTTTAATAGAAAGGATCAGCCCAGAGGAACCGAAAGTGCAAAAGGGAAGCTGGAAAAAGGAATCCAGCCCCACGGCAGGAGCAGCAGTATCAGCGGGGTGAGGGCAGATCCCATCAGCTGGCTGGGGAACAGACTCTGCACAGATAAATACCCACTTCAGATCACTGTCAGCAGAGAAATACCCACTTCAAATATCCATTTCCACTTGACAGAGCCATTTTACAAAAGGTAAATAAGGCCTGATCTGGCACAGGTGGGATTCCAAAGCCTGGAGTTTATCTGAACTCCTTACAAGCATTCCCAGGCATTTCTACCCCACAATGCATTATTTGAAGGTTGGTTGATTTTAATACATTTTCTGGGTGCTCATAAAAAACCGCCCTCCTGGTTTTTTAAAAAAAGCAGTAAAGTTTGGGCTCGGTTTGGGATTTTTTAAGGCAGAAAAGGAAGAAATGTCAAGGGCAGGAGCGGCTGTGCTGTCCCAGCCCTCGGGGAGGCAGCGGTGATGTCACCTGCGCTGTGCAGCCCCAGCCCTTGGCAGGCTCTGGATGAGGAAGTGATTGTTGCAAACCCTCCTGTGATGTCAGCCCGTGTGCACTGGATTAAAAACCTGGCACGGGCAGCCGTGGTGGCAGGGGGGCCACTGCTCTGCTGGGAAAAATGTTGGCTGCAACTTCTGGCACGGCGAGTTTGGCAGCTCCGGGCTGAGCGCTGAGAGGTGCCACAAAACTACTCCCAAAAACTGCCCGGCCTGCCTCGCTCCTCTGCTGGCCTCCAAAACACTCCCTGGGACACAAAACAAGGGCCAGGGACCGAGCTGAGGGACAGAAAGCAGCGGGGACGGGGAAGCTGAGGCTGCTCCATCCCAGGATGGGGCTTGGAGCAGCCTGGGACAGCGGGAGGTGGCCCTGCAGGGCTGGGGTGGGACTGAAGGTCCCTCCAAGCACTCTGGGAGTCCCTGGTTCCATGAACGAGGTGACACCATGGTGTGAAGGTGTCACCAGGAGATCCCTGAGGGATCCAGGAGAGCTGGAGAGGGACTGGGGACGAGGGATGGAGGGACAGGACACAGGGATGGGGGGATATCGGGAAGGGATCGTTCCCTGTGGGGATTCCAGGCCAGGCTGGAGGAGGGAAGCTCCAGGGACACTTTGGAGCCACTTCCAGAGCCTTGAGGGGCTCCAGGAGAGCTGGAGAGGGATTTGGGACAAGGGCTGGAATCCCAGCACAGGGAACGGCTTCAAAGTGGAAAGGGGATATTGGGAAGGAATATCCCACCCTGCTGGCTGGGATGGAACTCCCAGAGAAGCTGTGGCCATCCCTGGAAGTGCCCAGGGGGGTTTGGAGCACCCTGGGACAGTGGGAGGTGTCCCTGCCATGGGACCTTTAAGATTGAAGATTTTCCAACCCAAATCGTGCTGGGATTCTGGGATCCTGCCGGCTGTGAGTCCCGGATCAGCGCTAACAGAATATTCCCCTGTCACTCCTGCTCCCAGCTCCCACAGCCAGCCGGGCCAGCAGCAGAGCCCCAGGTGAGCACACCTGCAGCCTCCTCACCCAGCTCTGCTTTCAAGTGCTGCATTTCAAGCTGCAACAAGAACTGTAATTGCACTTTAACTCCAGCAGGTATTCTGCCAGAGAAGGCCTGCGAGAGGCTTCAGCACCACCCTGCTGATGGAGTCACCCCCCAGCTCCGGGGATCCCCCAGACCCCACATTTCTGGGGTGGGGTGGCAAAGGCAGCTGCTGCCCAGTGTGATTTTCCCTTCGGGGCTCTGCTAGGACCGGGGTGAGGGAGATTGGCTTTCCCTTTCCCGAGGAGGAAGCCGGGGAAAGCCTCGCCCCTGGGAGGGAGCAGCAGGGGCTGGTGTGGCCCGGACAGAACAGCCTTTGTTAGCACCGAAGTGAAATGAAATGAAATGAAATGAAATGAAATGAAATGAAATGAAATGAAATGAAATGAAATGAAATGAAATGAAATGAAAGGCAGCCTGGCTGGGCCGGACCGTGCTGAGCCACCCGGGAGCCCAGCTCACCCACCCCGAGCTCCCAGCAGCGAGAATTCCACAGAATCCGGGGCTGCTCTGGGGTGGGACGGACCCCAAAGCCCAGCCAGGGCACCTTCCTCCATCCCTCGGTGCTCCTTGGACACCTCAGGGATCCACAGCTGCTCTGTTGTAAATTCCTCTTAAAACACTGCAGAAAATTATTATGTTTATTTAATTCTAGCAAACAATGGGAATAGAATTTTCTGTAGAAAATGTTTGTGCTCTACTCCTACTTTCGACAACTGACCGCTAATCAATTGTAACGCTATTAATTAAATATATTGGGAAAGGAAGTTTTCCCTAAAAAATGAAGTGCCCTGCATTGCTCAACTCATCTTTTTAAAAAAGACCCCAGAAACAGCAGAGCAAAAGTTTCCACCTCCAATATTCCTCAGCTCCAAATACAATTATTTAATTAGCTTTAATTATAATCACAGGGCTAATATTTCATTAAGCAAAACCTGATCAATTGGAGAGGTCATTATTTAAGATGCCTCCTGCCAAAAAGAACAACAAACTTCAATCATCTAGTGAGGGCAGCAAAAATTCTGCCCAGAACTTTAAAAAAAACCCAGATTTTGTGATTTTATCAGCCCTGAGCCCATTGAGAGGGGCAGGTCTGAGCAGATCCTGGGCTTTGTTTTACTTCACCCAGGAGGAAATGGGGCCTGTTCCTCCTCTGAGAGTCCCTCCCCAAAAATGACATTTCCAACATCAAAATGAGCAGTGGGATGACCACAAAAGTTTGCAGAAACTCAAAACCACTCTGATTTTTTTTAAAAAATCAACACAAAATCCCTTCCTTTTAGCCAGGAGACAAAACCAGTACCTGAAGGTGCTCTCCAGAGATTTTTTTTTTTTTTAACTTTGACTTCAAAGGTTTTTCAAACATGTTTAGACAAAAAAAAAAAAAAAAAAGGCCAATTAATTATCCTCTTGCCTGGACTTTCAGCTTATGAGGCTGATTTTGGGGTGGTTTTTCTTCTCCTTGGCCACAAATTCCCTACTGGGAGCTCTGGAGTGATCACAACCCATTAAAGGTTTAAAATTAAATGTGATTAAAAATCTCTTTTAATGTATGCACACAGAGATTTTACTGCTGGTAGAAAATAATTCTGATCTCTCAATGCCCAAACTGGATCAATTCTACCAAATCCAAGAGCTGCAATCGAACAGAAAATAACCCAAGAGCTCTGAGCTCTGTGACTCACAGTGACCTGAGCACACCCCTGCAGTCACCGAGCACTTTCAGGCAGAAAAACTGATTTAATTCGTGCTGGGATAAACCCCCAGGACAGCAGAAAGCCTCGCTCAGCCCTGCCCCGCACACCTGTGGAGCTGGATGTGCTCCCTGCTCCCACTCTGCTGCACTCACACACCCACCTGGGGCAGCTTCTGCAACGAAAAGGACAAAAACCGGGTCCGGGATGTTTGGTTTGGGCATAAAAACTCACCTAAAACTCTCAACTCCTCTTTACACTCATCCCTTAACACGTGGGTGAAGTACAAGCATTTAATGGTTAATAATGGGATTTCTGTGAGGGACCTGAATATTCCACGATCTTCAAACTGGAGAAAAGTGTGGCTTTTTAAAAAATACTGGAGAGTTCTTTTGAGTTTTTGCTGTTTACTACGGGCACACTGAGATTGTTATCTTCATTTGCTGCACTTCTTGTCAACTGTTATCCTAATTCCTCCCCTGCCTACGAGTTGTGAATTGCTAAATAAATACAATTTCATTCTTTTAGATACCAACTGCAATAATAAAAAAAAAACCCCAAAATTAAAACGTGTTTTTAAACCACCAAGAACCAGAGCTCAGAACTTGTCCCTACCACACAATCCCCAAACAAACCCAACAGCTGCGTAGCGACAAAGTGGAAACTGAGATAAAAAAAAAAAAAAAAATCAACATTCATAGTAATAACAAGCAGAAATTAAAGCGCTATTTTAGCGAGGTGAAGTAAAGAAGAAGTAAAGAATTTCGTCAGCGCCCAACTTTGGATAATAAACACCAGCGAAAGCCGTTTGTTTTAAGGAGAAAGAACCCGAATTGACCCAAACCCCGCAAGGAGAAAGAACCCGAATTTCACCCTGCCTCGGTGGTTTTTTTTTCCCCTCCTCCCTATCGCAACGCCACAACTATCGCGACTCGGCCGCAAGTTTCCTGCCAGCACCAATTCCGCTCCCGGGCTGCCCCGGCTCGGCTCCCGCCCCGGGGCGCCGCCGCCGCCCGCCCCGCGCCGACCCCCCGGTTCTCCGCCGCTCACCTGCGCTTCCAGCGGGCCCGGAGCTCCCTGCCCCGCGCCGGGGGGGCCCTGGCCCTGCGCCGGCCCCGCCTGGCCCGGCCCGGGCGGGGTCTGCGTCTGGCTGGGGAGGGTGAAGTCGGTGAACTCGAACTCGGAGCCCTGCGTGTCGGCGCCGAGCAGCTCGGCCTCCTCGGTGTCCAGGAAGGTGAGGGTCTGCGAGCTGGGGCCGTACGCCTCCACGCTCATGGCGGCGTTCTCCTCCGGGCCGGGAGGCTTCGTCCTCCCCACCCTTACCCCGCCCCCAACCCAGCAACCGCGGGCTTCCCCCTCAGCGAGCCCGGGCGGCCTCGCTACGCGAGCGGCGGGATGCGCCGCGCGCACCAGGCCGCGCGCCCCCCCCCACACACAAAAACGAACCCGCCGCCGCCGCCGGCTCGCCGGGCGGCCCCGGAGCTAACGGGCGGGAGAAGGGAGCGGAGCGGGCCCGAGTGTGCGGCCGGGCTCGCTCGCTCGGCCCGTCCGTCCGTCCGTCCGTCCGTGCGGCCGCGGCCGCCGCGCGCCAGGCCCGTGAGCGGTGACGCGGAGCGCGCGCGCGTGGGGGGGGCGGGGGGGGACGCGCCGGCGGCAGCGCGCGCGCGCGGGAGGGGGACGGCGCGGGGGGGTGACGCATGCGCAGCACGCACCGGGGTGGGGGGGAGACGCGGCGCGGCCGCCAGGGGGCGCGCTGCACGCCCCCGCAGCCCGCGCGGGAGGGGCGGGGCTTGGCGCTGAGTGACGGGTGTGGCGGCCAATGGGACATCGAGACGGGGGGCGGGGGCTGAGGGGGCTGAGGGGATGGACAGGTCACTGAGGGGATGGGGTGGCACTGGGCACCGTGAGGGGTCACTGAGGGGATGGGGTGGCACTGGGCACTCGTGAGGGGTCACTGTGCGGGGATGGACAGGTCACTGTGCGGGGATGGACAGGTCACTGTGAGGGGATGGGGTGGCACTGGGCACCGTGAGGGGTCACTGAGGGGATGGGGTGGCACTGGGCACCGTGAGGGGTCACTGTACGGGGATGGACAGGTCACTGTGAGGGGATATGGTGGCACTGGGCACTCGTGAGGGGTCACTGTGAGGGGATGGGCACTCATGAGGGGTCACTGAGGGGATGTGGTGGCACTGGGCACCATGAGGGGTCACTGTGAGGGAGTGGACAGGTCCCCCTGAGGGGATGTGGTGGCACTGTGCACTCGTGAGTGGTCACTGAGGGCATGGACAGGTCACTGTGAGGGGATGGGGTGGCACTGGGCACTCGTGAGGGGTCACTGTGAGGGAGTGGACAGGTCACTCTGAGGGGACATGGTGACACTGGGCACTCTGAGGCGACGGGAACACTGTGGTGACAATGGGGTCACCTGTGCCCACCATGAGCTGCCAGCTCTGCCTGTTCCCTTGGAGCTGGCGGGAGGGACACGGGGTTAAGTGGGAATTAAGGAGCGGGAATTACATTAATTCCTGCTCCAGCAGTAATTCCTGTCCCACCTGTAATACCCCACAGCCCTGAGTGAAAGCTGAGCTGCTCTGGGCATTCTCTGAGCTCAGGGCCGTGCAGAGAACATTTCTACCTTGAAATAAACTGAAAACGTAGAATTTACCCTCATTCCATTCAATCAGCACACAATAAATCCCTTCTTAGTGTTGGGAAAGGCTGGATATTCAGTGCCTTTTCCTTTCCACGTTGAGATGCAAATATGTATCTTCTCTTATAAATAACTTGGATTTTATATTCTTGCTTTTGGTGTAGGATAAAGCCCAGCCTGAAACAACGTGTACCAGATCTGCGGCTGCTGGGCTGAAAAGATGGAGATTGGAAAACATCCTTGTCCTGGGAATATTGTGCAGCAAAAGGATGGGAAAAAACAAATCCAGGGAGCACAGGAGTCTCCACTTCTGCAGAGAGACTGAATTCGTCTTCCTTTGAAGCAGAATAAACTGTTCAGACCAAAGCATAACGGGGAGAAGCATAAAATAACATTTGAAGATGAAAGTGGAGCCGGAGCGGGGGGAAAAGAATTATAGTACAAAGCCAGGTGGCTGCATGCTGCAAACACTTTTATTTATTAATAAACACACCTCACTCCTAACATTTGGCTGCTTGACAGAATCCTCATAAGTCTTGGAAAGGGATCAAAGTTGTGCTGTGCAGAGTTGTGCTCTCCCTGTGCCTGCAGAGCTCTTAAGGACAGGCTGGAAATTCCCTCCTGTGGGTTTGTCCCCCGAGGGTGGCCCTGGGGACACTCTGGGGCTGCTGTCTGAGGTGCTGAAGCTGCACATCCCCCAGCACTGGAAAAGCAGCTGGAAAACCAAACTGGTTTAAACTGGAGGGTGAAATTCTCTTTATACCAAGGCAGAGCAGAGGCACGTGAATTTTGGGATGACTCTGCTTCATCACAGCGCTGGAAGCTCTGGGGGCCGCTTTGAAGCTTTTGAGGATAAAATGGATGCACAGCCAGGCTGCAGAGCTGCCAGGCTGCATTTTCTGTATTTGTTTTTTTTTTTTTTTAGTGTTTTGTGCAAGTTTTCTGCCTCAAACCCAGGCTGCTGCAGAGGAGAGGCTGTGACTCACCGGGCTTGACTGCTGTGCTGCCAGTATGGAATTTAAACGGGCAAAAGCTGGCACAACTCCCTGCAAACGCTGCTGAGCCTCCCGTCGCCCTGCAGATCAGAAGCTGGGATTCACAAGGAGATAAAAACGTGAGTGAATTCATATTTTAAAAGATGCTTTCTGCTCGCAGGAGGTGCAGAGGGGATTATGCCGAGGTGCTGATGAGGAGTGACAAACCCCAGCAGCTGGAGGTGCTGGGGAGAAATCCCAGCCCTGGCAATAAGGAGAGGCCTTTCCTTGAACCTGGTTTGAATTCCAGAGCCCAGCAGCTCTGGGATTTGCTGGCATCCTCCTCCTCCTCCTCCTCCTCTCGGGGCTGTGAGGGGAAGGCAGGGATGGGATTGGTCTCCAGGAATTCCCAGCCATGGAGATAAAGCTGGAACAGCTCTGTGACGTGAGGGGGGCACAGCCAATGGAGCCCAGGCTGGCCAAAACGGGGGGAAAACGGGATATTTTTATCCTGGCATGGAATAATTCGGGTTATGGGAAGTGAGGGTGGAGCAGGGATCAGGTGGGGAGGGAGGAGCTCAGGGGAGCTCCCACACAGAGCAATAAATGCACCCAGGGTGTTGATGAAGGACAATAAATGCACCCAGGGTGTTGATGAAGGACAATAAATGCACCCAGGGTGTTCCTTAAGGACAATAAATGCACCCAGGGTGTTGATGAAGGACAATAAATGCACCCAGGATGTTCCTTAAAAACAATAAATGCACCCAGGATGTTCCTTAAGGACAATAAATGCACCCAGGGTGTTCCTTAAGCACAATAAATGCACCCAGGATGTTGATGAAGCAAATTAATTGCTTTATCTCCTCCCTGCTCTGGTCACATACTTTTATTTAGTGCTCAGGGAGCTCAGAGGATTTAAAAATCACAGAATTCCAGGATGGTTTTGGGTGGAAGGACCTTAAATCCCATCAATTCCCACGGGCAGGAACACCTCCCACTATCCCAGGTTGTTCCAACCCCATCCAAGCTGTCCCTGGGATGGAGAATCCACACCAATCTCTTCCAGTGCCTTCCATAATAAAGAAAATGCTCAATTTTCTTCATTTCCTGTCTCTGTGTTCTGCCTTTTTCTTCCCTTTTTCCTTAAAACAAATCCTAAATGAAAATACCTTAATTTTTTATTTATTTTACCACACCTGAATACCAATAAATGAAAGAACAAAAAAAATCTGTTTTTTTTTAATAAAAATATTCTCAATGCTGACAAAATTCCAGTGAAGTAATAATTATTATTTTTCTGAAGGGTTAAATCCATAGGGAAAAAAACTGGGAATGAGTTTTTCCAGTGCCATTTCTCCTGAGTTACCACGAGAGGGACACAGAAGGAAAGCAAAAGGAGCTGGGAGAGAAAGAATCCAAGGACCAGCTCGAGGTGGGATCATAGCAACACATTTCCCTTTTATCTGGGAATTTCTGGGATCACAGCATTCCTACAAATCCCATAAAATCTTCCAAAATCCCTAAAATCCTAAATTCATCCCATAAAACCTTAAAAAATCTTCACAGATAATGGGCTGAGAAACGTAAATAGTTAAAATGGGTTTTTTTCCCCCACAGATTTTCCTCACTTTCCATCAGCTTTTTCCCTTTGGAATGTGGGGACAGGGAGAGGTTGGGCTGGCTGGGATTTAGTTCCATCCTGGAGCAACAAATCCCACAGGATTTTGTGGGTTTGGGGAGGTATTTTTGTTTATTCCCAGGGAATTTTTGTTTATGGAGGCTGGGGAGGTATTTCTGTTTATTCCCAGGGAATTTTCACTAATTAACAGCTGATGATGCAAATGACAGGAAATCCCAGATCCATAAAATTCCTGCATGGAACAAAGGCCCCATAAAAAAGCTCCTGAAGTAAATATTGAATATTTCGTGGGCTCTTGTGGAGTTACCCAGTCCTGAAATGGATTGGAATTAATGCAGAGTGGATTTTTAGGGACTCATCCTTAATGGCAGCAAAGCTTCACTTCCAGCCTGGCCGGGCAGGCTGGGATTGGGATAAAAATGCTGGGAAAAAGGAAAATGGGAGGAAAAATCCCTTATTTTTAAGAATTATAACTTTATGGACTTCAGTCTTGCATTTTACAATGTAACAACATTTTAATATCACATTAAAAGGCCCATTGAGTGCTGGGACCCTGAGTGGTCATTTAAAAATATTTATATATTTTTATATCCATATATTTAATAACTATTTATATTATATAATATTGTATATCTATATTTTATAATTTTATACTTATGTTTCTATATTATTGTATATTCCTAATTTTATATTTATTTATATAACTTAATATTTTAATATTTATTTTTATATTTTTACCCTTTAATGCCCAGAATGCTTTCACAAGCTAAGAACATCTTCAAAAAGTGTTATTAAATAAATGTAAGAATGCCTTTAATTATCAGAAACTTTAGTGCAACAAGAAATGCAAATCCAGCTCTGATTTCAGCAGGGAAGATTCACAGAAAAGGGTTTTTCCTCATGATTTTTGTTTGTTTGTTTTTATCCTTCAGCAAGTTGTGATAAATCTGATTAATTCTGCTTTATCTGCAGGTTTAATTGGGGATACACAAATATTCCCAGAACAAGTCACAGGGATGCAACTCCATGAAGGAAAAGGAGGAGATTTTGGCCAAAATCCAAGGATTTTGAATGAAGAAAGTTCTCAGAAATTAAGGATGGTGAGTGACATTAAAAGATATCAGATAATAAAAGCTAACAGATAATAAAAGATAAATAATAAAAGATAACAGCAGGAGATGAAAAGGAAATGAAATTTGGTGCTCTAAACCAGCTCCAAATGGATGCTATATATAAATAAATAAATAAACTCCAATAAATTGGGGTTGAATATTAAAATAAGAATTAAAAATACTGAGTTTCAGTGGGAAACTCGAAATCCTTCCCTCCAAAATTGTGTTAAAATTCCCTTTGCTTGAAAAGATCTGAAACAACAGGATAGGACCTGGATTGAAGGAATTAATGTAGGGAAAAAAGCTTTTTATGGACAGAACTTGTGCCTTTTTTAGGTTTTTAGCTGAAGAATCACCATGTGAAGTTAAAACTCACTAAGAAAAAGCCAAGAGTTCCTAAAATCCAAGGCGAAAAATGCTGGAATTCCTGAATTTATTCAAGGAAATCTTTGGGTGGATCTGTTCCCTATTAAAGCTGCCTCTGGAAGGAGCAGAATTGTTAAAAATCCTCAATTTCCAAAGGGGCATCAACAGCTCTGGGGAAAAAAAAAAAAAAAGAAAAAAGAAAAAAAAAAAAAAGGGATTTCTCCAAAGCAGATGTTGTTGGAGCTGAGTTTAAAAACAAAATGTGGAGCTCTTGATGGGCTCCAAAATGTCCCTGTTTGTTGGGATTGCTGGCAGCCTTCCTGGGCAGATGGAGGTGATTGTGGAGTAATGGAAAATCCAGAAATCCAGGCTCCCACAGGCTGGGATGTGTGTGTGGGGCTGCTGAGCCTCCCCAGAAAGAGAGGAAAACGGGGAATTTCCAGGTTATCCCATGCAAATTTGGGATTGGGTGCACTTTTAGCAGGTTTTGATGTGGTGATAGCTGACTTCTCCTCAGATTTTGTGCTGATGCCGGTTTTTAATTCTGGAGCAGGCAGAACGCTCAGGGTTAAACCTGAGGTTGGGTTTGTATCTTCAAAGCAAAAAAAATCACTTCAAAATCAGGAATTTTGGAGTCCCACCCTGGCTTTTTCTGTGCTTTCAGTGTAAGGGAATAACATATTTACATTCTCTGCATAGAAAATAAATCCTCCCAAGGAAATCCTTCTTTCCTGCTGTGGAGAAATCTTAATTTGGCTCTTAATGTAAGGAATCAATAATTGGGATTTGGCTGAGTGTCCAAGGTGTGTTTGGCCACATCAGGACTTCCAGGAGGGCTCCAGGATCAAACACCCTCATCCAAAAATGCCCTGAAACTGGAAAATTCCATTTTCTGGCCTCCATCCCTGAAGAATTTTCCTTTTTCGTCCCTTTTGATGTTAAATTTGCCCAGCTTGACCTTATCTTCTCCTTGCAAATAATCCAAATTTGGAAAAGAAGGAGTGTAAAGTCATTTATGCTTCCACAGCTATAGGAAAAACTGGTGATATTTCATCAAGTTTAAGTTTCTTTTTCATTTTTGCTGAACAAAAATCAAGCAGAATTGAGGGAACCCAGAAGGGTTGGGTGTTGCAGTTGTTTTGCCATCGTGGAAGGCCTTTCCAAGGAGCTGTGTTTGTCGTGTCTGGGGGGATGGTTTTAGGAAGGGGAAGGAATGTTTTCCTTGCAGAATTCTGTGGATTTCAGGAGGAACCCAGCCAGGGCTGCCCTCAGGCCGTGAATGGTCTCAGTGTAGTTCTGTGAGGCCTTCCCAGAAGTCAGGAGCTGCTTGGAAATGAACCCAGGAATGCCATCAAACAGCCTGGGACGAGATCAAGGGGGCTGTGGGCTCCCAGGCTGTCCCACATTCCCCAAGGGGAACATTCCCATCCCAGAGGGCACCAGCACCCCAAAACAGAGGGACCCTTGAACTCTGGAGCCGTGCTGGGAGGTTTCCCCTCATCCCACCGATGCTCAGGGCTCTTCCAGCTGCTCCCTTTGCCAAGGATGGTGGCTTGTCCCTTTTGCACGTGCTCCCACAGCCTGGGGAGGATCCTGCCCCCAGCCCGGCGGCGCTGGGCGCTGGCAGCGCCTCAGGATCGTGCTGGAAACACCTCAGCAGCTGCTCCGTGCGAGGAGGCAGCGTTCCCACCGGGAAGGGCGGCCAGCTGGACAGGGAATAGCACTGCAAAGGCCGTGGAAATTCGGGGAGAAGGACTGCTGCCATGCTGGTCCCTTCAGAGTCACCAGCAGAGCCGGGGTTCATGTTCCAGAGGCTGCCACAGGTGCTCCGATGCACGTGGAGCCTGGTGGAGCTGCTGGATTCGGGGCAGAGCCTGTGGCAGCACAGCAAACCCATGGAGCAGCCTGGAAACTCTGAACTGGGCTGCTTCTGCTAAAAACGGCACCGCTGGCCTTGATTTACGAGCAAACAGAAGGCTGCAAACGGCCTCGGGAGCCTGGCCCAGAAATCCATCAGCCTGATGTCATGTGGAGAGGGCCCAGAACACAGAATTATTTTTATGGAGTTGTTAGCAAGTGTTATTAAAAATTTGAAAAGTTCAATTGGAATTTTTTTTTTTGGCTATAGGATGAGGGCAGAGCAGAAGTCCTGGGATGGATGTGGACAAGACATTCCAGTTCTAGGCCACCCTTCCTGGCTCCAGATGAGAACACAGCTTTGCTGGAAGAGGGGATTGCAAAAGGGGAAGTGAGGGAGGTCTGGAGAACAATAATTTTAAACAGCACTTCAGCCATGATGTCATTTCAGCTGAAAAATAATGTTCAAGTTTGGGCAAGCAGAGCCCGGGGCCAGCAGCCAGGGTGGGGAGAAACTGCAGCAAAATGGAAAGTCCAAAGCGTGGAAGGTCATGGTGGAAAACCAAATCAGAATAACCCTGAAAAAAGGTGGCTAAAAACCCTGGAATTTTCTGTGAGCATGAAGATTCCAGGGAAATGAAGGGGAGGAAGATGTTCAAACCCTGGACAGGGTTTTCACTCCTCTGTCTGGAAGTCAGAAGCCAAATCCTGGAGCACAGGAACAGCCTGAAGGATTGTTGTGACCCCAGACTGTGACCCCAAAGTGATCCCAAGCTCTTCTCCTGGGATTTAACCCAAATCCAGCCAAAATCTGCATCCACATCCTTTGCCTGAGAAGGCCAAAAGGCTGAAACGACCAAGGGACATTGTTCCAGTGGATTTGGACATCAAAAATGCCATCTAAAAACTGCTTTGTGGGGTTTCTCCCTCACGGGCTGAAATGGAGGATCACCCTCAGGCCAGGCTGCAGCCTCAGCCCTTTCTTTCCACGGGGTTTTAATTGAATTCCCACTAAGCCAGCCATAGAAAGCTGAGGCTTGGTCACCTTGGGTAAAGCCTTGCACATTTTGTCCTTTTCTCGTTCTCTGTTCCACCACAAACCTCAGCTGGGGGGAAAAAACCCAACAAAGCAAGCGGAGGAAGGGGCACCTGCAGCTGGAAATGACAAACAGCTCCTGTTTCAGGAGGAGATTTAGGACTTGGAGCTCCCCAGGAACAACTTCTCTTCCCGCTGTGCTGGGAGCCAGGAATGAGCTCAGGCTGTGAGATCAGATTTTGCTGAGTCTACAGGGTTAGGCTTGTTCTTTCCTCTTTTCCAGAAGTTCCCCTCTCCAAGCCATGCCTGGATATTTGATTTCCTGGGGAAATCTCAGCAGCTTTTGCTGCCTTTTGTGTCCGGGACACTCAACTCTGCCAGCAGAAAAAGTTGCTTTTGTCATTCCCATTTCTCCACCTGAGCGTGGGGTTCCTGGAATCCTGGGAGCTTTTCCTGGAAGAAGTGGTGCAGGCCGGAATGGCTTGTGCAGAAAGCACTCCAAGGCCTCAGAGATGGCCAGGAGGCAGCTGGAATTCAGGGAGAGCTCTTGGAATCCTCTCTCCTGGTGGGTACTTCTCTGGCTGTCGATGAGCACCCAACGTGCTCTGGCTCGAGGGGAAGCTCAGGGAAGAACCTGACCCTGTGCTGGCCAAAAGGAATTGGAATTTTATGGAGGGAACACTGCAAAAATGCAGAGGATTGACGTGGTCTCCATCTGGAATTCAAATTAAAGGAATTTGGGACCGTCACAATCAGGCCAAACCTGTGCCCTTGCAATTTTTGGGTAGGAAGAGCAGTTCAGATGAAGCAAGGGCTGACTCTGGATCTCTCCACAGCCCATCATCCTGAAAATTATTATGGAAAAAGAGCAGGCTTGCCCTTGAGGCTGTTTTTCAGCTCTGGGTGGGGTCGGGAGAAGGCATTGCCAGCACTCCCCAGAGCCAGGTCATTCCTGGGAGATTTCTGGGGCTGAGATTTTCCAGAAAACTCCAGAGGTTTGGGTCAGTCTCCATCCTCCTTCTTTCTGGAGAGCTTCCCATCCCTTGTGAGCCTGCACACGCCGTTTTTCCATTTCTCTGGAAGTGACCAAAAACCCCAAAACAAGCCCAGAGCCTGGATGATGCAGAATTTTCCTCTGAGCTCATCGAGGATGTCCAAAGCAGCACCATTTGCAGATGGGGCCAAGAATCTGTAATGTCTCAAAGCTGAGCAAAATAAAACGTGTGTGAGAGAGGAGATGGGTGATAAGGGGAGCTGAGGGGGTGGGAGTCAGGAAAAAGATGGATTTGGGAGCTCAGTGGTTGTCCCAAAAGCCATGAGGGGGTGAAATGTGCATTTCCACGAGTGCAGCTGTTGGTTTGAGTCTCTTTAATGAATTATTTTTGATTTACATTTGTTAATTGCCTTCAGGAGCTGCAGCTCCGGACTGAGAAGATTCTCCTGCATGGAAGCGTTTCCCACTGTTCAACTGCTGCAGGTTTTTATTTCTGGAATTTCCTCTCTTTCTTATTTGGAAATTCATCTTTTTATTGGAGGAAATCTTTCTTTGGAGAAGACAAAGGACAGGGTGAGGAATCCTGAGGGTGTCCCTGTCCTTGCCCATGCCCAGAGCATCTCTGTGCATTCATCCTGCTCACAGCCAGCATTATCCTGGCTGGAAAACCTCTGGAATCCCTGGGAGGGGGACACAGGGTGAGGAACTGACACACCAGGGGCTGCCCTGGGATTGTTCCTCTCTGCTCGATCCTTCTGTGCTCGGGATTTTGGGAGCAGCTCCCAAAGGAATTGAAAGCAGTTTTTGGGGAAGAAAACTTCCTTCTGGTGTGCTGGGGATGAAATATCAGCTGAGAGGGGGACAGGAAAAAAGGGTCGAGACAAAGCTCTGCTCCACCACCCCCAGAAGAGGAAGAATTTGATAATAAATCCATTTTCTTGTTCAAGATTCTCGTTTTACCAAAGGACAATGAGACCACTTCCAAGAACAGCATGGAGAGCTTGCTGGTGCTTCCTCTACCCCTCTTTTCTTTGTGTTGCTCACAAATCTCCCCATTCCACTGCAAAAAAACCCACCTATCCTGCAGAGTTCTCATTGTAATTCAGAAAGGTTTTCTCCCCCATTTTCCTATATAAGAAAAAGCCCTTTTTCTTCACACAAGTGTTAAATGACTCCTATTAAAACCAAATTTAAGTGAATTAAAGTGAATTTAATCTCTCCCTGAGACGAGACAGAGAATATTACATTCAATAATCAATTTATTTGCCCCCTTTTCTCTGTCCCACTCAGTATTTCCAGTTGGGAGAAAGGGAATTAACACACAGTGATCGATCCTTTTTCTTCTCCTTACAACTTAAATCTCATTTCCAGCAGGGAAAAGGTTTCTGTCTCCTGCCAAGAGCTGGCTGCAAAATCATTTGTACAGAGCACCTCTTTGATCACTGGTGTCCTGAAAAGACCTGATTGCTGGGTTTGCCTTTTTCCAGCTGTTAAATTATCCCAGATATCTTCCTGCTGGATTTGTTGAGGGGTTTTTTAATGGAAAAAGGGAAAATTTGGAGGGGAAACCCAGCCCCTGTCACAGTCAGTGAGAAGAAGAAGCAAGAGAAGTGGCATTAATTTTGAATTAATTAATTAAAAGTTGGGTTTTGCTGTGTATTCAGGAGATTTGGGCAGGTTCCCTTAAGAAAAGCCCTGGCATGGAAAATCTCTGGAGTTCCCTTGGGATGCCCACGGAAAGGGCAGCTCTGGGGGCAGCGTGGCCACAATTCCTGGGAAATTCCCAGTTCCCCACTTCTCATCCCCATTTTCCCTGGGGGCTGTGCCCAACTCCGTCTCCAGGGGATCCATTCCTCAGCTCCCTGGGAAAAACCCGATTTTCTCTGACGTTCCAACCCAAATATTTCCCTTTCCCCCTGGACTTGGCTGTGCTCCCTGTCCCTGTTTTTAGGGGTGAATGTTGTCAGGTTCCTTGGGATCCTCCCTGTGGGAAGGAGAGATGGAAGCTCTGTCCTGGCTGTCCCCAGCTGTGCCAGGAGGCAGCAACCTGAGGACACCAAATCCTCGTCCAAGCCATCCTTGGAGTCACAGAAATGCCGTTTTTCCTACAGAAAATGTGGATTTTTGTCCAACCCCAGAGCCCACAGCCCGCAGGCAGCTCCAGCAGCGAGGAGATCCCCAGGATCCCTGAGCTCCAGGGTTCCCCGTGCCAGATGTTCCTTTGGAGTTAATAATTCTTGGGATGCGTTCAAAGCCAGCTCAGTGCTCCCAGAGAGAGGTCCCAGAGCTATTAAAGCGTGGACGTGCTGTCTGCCCACCTCCACCGTGATCTCAGAGCCCTGAGCACTTCCAGTCCTGCCTGCAGGAGCCAGCTCCTGTTTACTCCTGCCTGCAGACCCCTGGCTTCCAAAATTCAGGAGCTGTGACCACAGAGATCAGTGGGATGCATCATTTAGGGGAAAAGGAAAGGCCAGGCTGCTTCGAAGAGCTTTTGTTTTTAAGCTCTGCCATCCCAGGGAGTTTTGGGAACACGGAGCAGTAAATCTGTGTTATTGTCATTATGACTCTGGGAAGTGTTTTTCGGGAGAAAATCCCAAAAAAGAAAGCGAGATCACAGCCAAAGGACTTTCAGTGGGAAAAGCTGAAGACTCTGAGCATGAAAGTCCCAACGATTCCCAGCACGCAGTGATGGCTTCGCTCTCTCATCACTTTGCACCTCTCTCAGACCAAACATCCCTCAGCCTCCCCCGATTTCCCAGCACAATTCCAGCGAATTATTCCCGCTTTCCTCGGCGTGTCTGAGCTCCCGCTGGCTGCTGGAGGAAGAGGAGCTCATTGTTACAAATGAGCCTAATCCAGAGCTCCACATCTTTTATTATCCCTGCTAGAAATCGGAAAAAATGCGGGGCCGTTTCCTGCAGGGTTTTCGGCGCCCGCCTGGGGCTGGGGTTGTGCCATGGATGGCACTGGGTGCCTCGGGCACATTCCCACATTCCCAAATTCCCACATCCCCACATCCCCACATTCCCAAATTCCCACATTCCCGTATTCCCACATCCCCACATCCCCACATCCCCATCCCCATCTGCAGGTCTCCTGCCTGGGCAGGATGGGCCACAGCTCCTCCCGACCCGCCCTCCCCTGGGATTTGTCCCCTTCTGTTCCCTGCCAGGGCTGGGGGGACTTTGGGGCCCTGTGGGAACCCAGCACATCCCTCTGGCTGCCCTGGCTGTCCCCAGACCCTGCCAGGGATCTCGGGCACCTTGGCACCAAGTCACAAACACCCGTGGCTTCGATTTTAGCCCGTGGGAAAAGCTGCCAACTCTGTGTGAGGAATCACAAGCCACAAGGGTTTGAGCAGTGTGGTAGTTGGATTAACACTGGGTGAAAAAGTAGAATTTTGGGGTTTTTAGAATGGGTTCAAGGGGACAAGATGGATTGAGCATGTCCTGGCCTTCTTCTCCTTCTCCTTGCCCTCCATGCCTTGCTGTGCTGGTGACACTTTTCTGTTGGTTTAAGGTAGAGACACACTGCCCAACATAAGTGATTGATATTGGTGCATTATTGTAAATATAGCACATGTGGTTTTGGGTATAAAATGTGAAATTTTAGTATACAATGTGTAAATAAAGTGTGTAAATTTTAGTATAAAATGCCGTAGAGGGCAGACAGAATGCCATGGCCCCGCGAAGAAATCCGAATTTCACACTGTGGATGCTCCATCTGCAAATTCCCAAATACTGCATGGAAACAGCTGGACACTGCAGCTGGAGGCAGGATCCTCCTTCCTGGCCCACCTTTCTGCTCCCAGACAAAACAAAAACCCTGGGTTTTTTGGTTTTTTTTTTTTTTAATCCTTTTTTAAAAGCCTGCGCAAACAGGATTTTCCAGCTTGATCGTGTTTAAACCCCAATCTCACCCGTTGCTAAAACAATCCCAACAAACAGATTCCAAAAGGATCCCCTCAGAGCTGCTGCCAGCACTGAGCTAACGACCTGGAGCCATTAATTCATTAATTAATTAATAATGGATAGCAGTAGCAGCAGTGATTATGTGAGATAAACACCCAGAGTGATGCAAATATTAGAAATAAATCCATTAATCCGTGGGAAGGGCGGCCCATCCATGGAATAATCCACTGAGGGCTGTGCTTTGTCACAGCTTTGAGGAGTCCCAGCCTGCTGCAGTCTGCTTTGTGTCTCTAACTCTGAATTCCTCAGGAAATTGAGGCATTAAAGACCTTTTTAAAATCACTTTAATGCTTTGATTTTCCATTTAATCAGTGGCAAAGTGAATTAAACCTGGAGGCAGCTCCATTGTGCAATGTATCCTTAATTTTTTTAAACTTTATCCTTATTTTTTTTTAACTTCATCCTTAATTTTTTTAACTTCACCCCTAATTTCTTTACTTGGTCTTTTATTTCTCCAGCTGTTTTCTTCCCCATTTATGAAATTTGAACCATGACAAGGCTGGGCCACCTTGCAGGGGAAGACAGGGACTGGCACCTTGGGACCTGGATGGTTCTTTCAAGTAAGGTTGAGCTTCCAAGCATCATTTTTATTAGGATTTATTGGGATTTATTTGATTTATTGGGATTTATTGAGATTTATTGGGATTTATTGGTGTTTATTGGGGTTTATTTGGATTTATTGGGATTTATTGAGGTTTATTGATATTTATTGGGATTTATTGGGGTTTATTTGGATTTATTGGGATTTATTGGGGTTTATTGATATTTACTGAGATTTATTGTGATTTTGGGGGGTTTATTGGTGTTTATTGGGATTCCAGGATCCTAGGAAAGCATGGAATTGCACTGCAAGTTTTCCAAATCTGCTCCTGGAGTCCCTGGGGAATAAAAGAAAGGAGGAATGGGCTTGAATGGCATCCCTTAAAACTGGGGATTTCACTGACTGGAAGCATTTAAAAACCTTTGGAAGCCCAAACTGTGAGGAAAATGAGACGTTTTTTGAAGGCTTTCCTTGTATCTCCTCTATAATTTGGATTTTTACCCCAGAAATGCATCAGAGCCCCTCTGAAACCCTTCTCACCCCAGCTCCAGGCCGGAGATGTTTTCCACTTATTTTTAGAACCTGACCTTCCAAGGCTGAAAAATAACATTTTCCTCCTTCTGACTTTTGTCCTTCACTTGGCAGAGGCCAGTTCAAAACAGAGAAATGGAAAATATTTCAACTTTCAGGCAGCAGGAGCTTTGCTTTTTTGTTGTTTGTTTGTGAGCTCCTCTCATTTGTGATGTCAGCTCCAGGCAGGAAAAAAAGGTGTAACGAACCTGGCAGTGCCCAGACTCCAAAAAAACCCCAAAAAACACCCCAAATAAACATTTTCTGCTGCATATTTTGATTTTTTTTTTCAATCAGTAAAGCTTCAATAATAATCCTGCTCCAGGCTGGCAGATGTTTCTCCATCAGTTCCTTCTGAATTTGGGTTTTTTCAGCAGGGTTTTCTGCTCCTGAGCTGGGTTGGAGGTGATTTACAGCGAATCCAGTGCTGGATTTAGGAAGGAATCAGGTGAATCCAAGGAAAATAAAGGTGGGAATGACCTCAGCCCACCAACTGCTCAAGTCAAGGCAGGAGGAACCAGCTCTCAGTGGCCACAGCTGACCCCAAAAATCTGCTGCAGCCTAAAGAAAAATTCCTTTGGGTTTCTAAAAGGATGAAAATGGGAAAAAAAATTTAAAATAGAAAAAATTGCCTTCATATGCAGGAGCCTTCATTCCTTTAAATGTCAATTATTGGGGTTTCTTTCAGCCTGGAGCAAAAAGCCCAAAGGAAATAACCTGGCTTGTCAATTGTGTGGTTTTGGTGAGTTAATTTGGCTGTTAAATAACAGAAATAATAGAAAATGTGGTGATTTTAATATATAATGAAACCACCATTATATATAATAATAGACCTATTGTTATTATCAGTTTATAGGGTTATAAAATGGGATTTTGGAAGTGCTGAGCTCTGTTCAGAGGCAGCAGATGATTCCTGATGGGATTTAAATTTTAAAAACTCCCTCTTTGGCTGGCTGGAGGTCACAAAGTAATCCCCAAATGCTTTTTCCTCTCCAGAACTTTGTCATTTGGGCCACTGAAAATTTAGAAAACCAGAATTCACTGGAGACCCAACTTTCAATGCTTTGCTTTGGGTGTTTATTTTTTATGTGGATTTATTTGATCAATAAATACATCGACATTAATTGAAAATGCATTTCAAATATAGAAATAAAATCTGCTATCTGTGGATGGGAATCTTAAGGCCCTTCCAACCCAAGCCAGTCCATGATTCCATGATGCCACGATTTTTTTTTTTTTCCTGGAAAATGAGGATTTTGGGGTCTCTTTGCTCCCCACACAAAGCAGATTTTTGGTCAGTTGCGTCTCTCATGAGTGACCCTGTCCTCTCTTCATTCCATGGGAATTACATCTCTTTCTTTCTGCACTTTTATGACTTTTCCACAGTCAAAAAAACTCATTTTTTTCATGACTACTTGGCAAAACCCCTTTTTTATTCGTGCCTCTGATAAGCAATGTGTTTTTCCTTCACTCTGTGCTGCCAGAACAGGGACTGCTGCCTTTCCTGGGAGTGAGAATGTGAAAATTCAGGATTTTCCTGGCTGCTCCTGCCCTCCCCAGCTGGATGAGCCCCAATTCTCACAGCTCCGGGTGAAAGATTTCATCCCTGAGGGATGTGGCACAGGGAATTTCTCCATCACTCACTCCTCATTTGTTACTGAAAAATCCAGATTATAAAGCAGATTTTCCCTCAGGATAGCAGTGGGAAAAAATCCTATTTTTTGTCTTTAATAATTATAATAATAATAACAATAATAATGGTAATAATAGCATTAATAATAATGATGATAATGATGATCGTGATAATGATGATGATGATGATAGTGATAATGATAATGATAATGATAATGATAATGATAATGATAATGATAATGATAATGATATTGACAGGGGGTTGATTTATCCAGAAATGCTAAAACCAGGGAAATTCCAATATTTTGATCCCACAAGGATCAAACCCTTCAGCCCCCGGCTGGATGTGCCAGCAGAGCCACCCAGATGTCAGAGTCCAAATTTCCAGTGGGAATTTCCTGAAAAAAAAAGAGTAAAAATCCATAAATTCCAACATTCCTGGCACAGCAAACCGGGAATATTTATGATTTGTTATTTATTGTTTATTTTAGGGCCTGTGTGGGCCCCGCAGCGCCCTCAGGGCTGGGCCCGGTCACCACAGGGGCCTGGAGCTTGGGAGGTCTGAGGTAAAAGCAGGGAAAAAATCCCATTTTCTGTAAATATCCCAAATTCCTGCTGCTCCCGCTTCTTAAAGACTGAGCTTCTGTTTCCTGGGGTTTCCCTCAGCCTCTCCTGTTTGCTTTTTGGGGTTTTTTTGGGGTTTTTTTTTTTGCTGCATTTCCAGGCCAAACTCCAGGAATGTTCCAGGCCTTTCCTCCCACCTGGAATTCTTCTTGGGATTAGGAAATTCTTGGAAGTTTTTCCACTTTTTCCTCAGCTGCCCCAGGGTGGATTTGTCCATCCTGTCTGTGTTTCCTGCTGGGAGAGAAAAAGCTGCAATTTGCGTTTTTTCCCCTCAGTTTTGCACTTCATCCTTCCTTTGGGGATAAAAATTGGAATTTTCTTCCAGTTTTTTTCTTCCAGTTTTTTTTTTCTTCCTATTTCAGCACCAAAACAAAACAAAACAAAATCTGAAATTTTCTTCCATTTTTTTTTCTTCCAGTTTTTTTTTTTTCCTTCCTATTTTAGTACCAAAAAAACCCCAAAAATCACTTTGTTTATTTTGGGGCCGGCAAAGCGGAGCCAGCGATGACGCGGCCCGAGAGGAGCGGAGCGGGGAAGGATGGAGGGAGGGAGGGAGAAGGGGAGAAGGAGGGAAAGAAGGAGGGAGGGAAGGAGGGAAGGAGGGAGAAGGAGAGAAGGAGGGAGGGAGGGAGGGAGGGAGGGAGGGAGAAGGAGAGAAGGAGGGAGGGAAGGAGGGTGAAGGAGAGAAGGAAGGAGAGAGAAGGGGGGAAGGAGGGAAGAAGGGAGAAGGAGAGAAGGAGGGAGAAGGAAGGAGGGAGGAGGGAGGGAGAAGGAGGAAGGAGGGAAGGAAGGAGGGAAGGCAGGAGGGAGGAGGGAGGGAGGAAGGAGGCAGGAGGAGGCAGGAGGGCAGGAGGGAGGGAGAAGGAGGGAAGGAGGGGATAGGAGGGAAGGAGGGAGGGATGAAGGAGGGAGGAAAGAGGGAAGGAGAGAGGAGGGAGAAGGGAAGGAAGGAGAAGGGGGGAAGGAGGGAAAAAGGCAGGAAGGGAGGGAGGGAGGAAGGAGGGAAGGAGGGAGGCAGGAGGGAGGGAGAAGCAGGCAGGAGGAAGAAGGGAGAAGGAGGCAGGAGGAAGGAGGTAGGGAAGGAGGCAAGAAGGAGGAGGGCAGGAGGGAGGGAGAAGCAGGCAGGAGGGAAGGAGGGAGGGAAGGAGGGAAGGCAGGAGGAAGGAGGGAGGAAGGAGGGAAGGCAGGAGGAAGGAGGGAGGCAGGAGGAAGGAGGGAGGGAGGAATGAGGCAGGAGGGCAGGAGGGAGGGAGAAGGAGGCAGGAGGGAAGGAGGGAGGAGGGAGGGAAGGAGGGAGGGAGAAGCAGGCAGGAGGAATGAGGGAGGGAGGGAGAAGCAGGCAGGAGGGAAGGAGGGAGGGAAGGACGGAAGGCAGGAGGAAGGAGGGAGAAGGAGGCAGGAGGAAGAAGGAAGGAGGGAGGGAGGCAGGCGCCCATAAATAGCCCGGCTGGCCGGGCAGAGCAGCCCCGCGCCGCGATGGCCGCAGCGCCGCTCCCGCTGCTGCTCCTGCTGCTGCTGTGCGCTCCGCTCGGCTGGGGCCAGCAGAGGAGGATCGGTAAGCGGCTGCCCCCGGATCCTGCTGCTTTTACTCCATTTACTGATGCCTTTACTCGGATTTTGCTCCCATTTTACTCTGATTTAATGATGGGTTTACTCTGACTTTACTCTGATTTTATTCAAATTTAACTCTGATTTAATGATGATTTAATTCTGATTTAACTCCAATTTTACACTGCTTTTAGTCTGCTTTAACTCCAATTTTACTCTGATTTAACTCTTAACTCTGATTTAATGTTGATTTCATTCTGCTTTAACTAAGGATTAACTCGGGTTTAATTCTACTTTAACTCTACTTTAACTCTGATTTAATGTGGATTTCATTCCGCTTTAACTCCACTTTAACTCCACTTTAATCCTGATTTAACTCTACTTTAACTCGGATTTAATCCTGATTTAACTCCACTTTAACTCCGCTTTGACCCCGCTATAACTCTGCTTTAATCCTGATTTAACTCTGCTTTAATTCTGATTTAATGCTGATTTCATTCTGCTTTAACTCCGCTTTATTTCTCCTTTAATTCGGACTCAATTCTGATTTTTTGAGGCTTTTTTAGGCTGCTCTGGAAATGCTGAGAGGTGGAAGGCAGTTGGAGCCTGAAAATGTTGAAGGGACTTTTATAGGAAAACTGTAAATGCTCCATGAGATTTTTTTCCCCAGTTTTCCTCCTGAGAGATGAAACTTCATTTAAGAAAAAGAAAGGAAATCAATAATTTAAGGAGAGCTTCATTTAAGGAAAAGAAAGGAAATCAATAATTTAAGGGAAGCCCTGACCTCCAGGAATGTTCAAATCCCACTTTTCCAACCCTGCTTTTGGGGAATTCTCAGCTCCAGGAGGATTTCTGGCAATCCAAATTATTTCCAATCCAAAAGTTACTGGAGAGCTCACAAATAATCACTTTTTTTTTTTTTTTTTGGAAGATCCACGAGGTTTTTGGGTTTGTTTGTGGAAAATCAGGACTTTTTATTAAATCAGTGCTGGGAAATTCTCCCTGCTCAAGGATGCAGAGCCCAAATTCCAGATGATTTTCCCCCTGGACACACAGAGGGTTTTGTGGGATTTACTCCTGGTTTTCTCTTTGCTGTAGGTGAGGGATGGTTTCTGTTCGGAGACTGGCAAATCTGGGGGAAAAGAGAGAAATTATGGGAAAAAATTAGAGAATTGGGGGGGGAAATTGAGAAATTATGGGAAAAATTGAGGAATTATGGGGGAAAAATATATAAATTATAGAAAAATGGAGAAATTATGGGGGAAAATGGGGAATTGTAGGACTAAAATGAGAAATTGTAGGAAAAATTGAGAAATTAGAGAGAAAAAAGAGAAATGAGATTGTGCATCCTCATGGCCACCAAGGAATTTGGGATTTGGGAGAATCCCTGAGTCAAACTGGGATGTCCAGTTCCCTTTTCACTCCCAAATTATCCCTAAAAGTCCCCAAATCCCAGAAGCACGAGCTCCATCCTCCCTCCCTTGGGCAGATCCCGGATTTTTTCCCCTTCCCAAAGGGACCCCAAATCCCAGCGGGATCCTTCCCTGGCTGGGCTCAGGAGCTGCTCCCGCAGCATCCCCGATTTCCTCTGGAGCTGCTCCTGACCTCCTCCAGCATTCCTGATTTTCCCCTGGGGAGGATCCTGAACCTGCAGCATTCCCGGTTTTCCCTGGAGCCCCTCCTGACCCGCAGCATTCCCGGTTCCCCCGGCTGAGCCCCGTGTCCTTTGTGTCCCAAGATCCCAGCCGGCCGCTGCCCGGTGCCGCCGCCCGCCCGGCCGCCGCCTTCAGCCGGAATCCCGGGAATGCCGCGGGAGCAGGTGAGAGCGGCCGGGATCCCGGGAATGCCGCACGGAGCTTTCCCGGAGCTCTCCCATCCCGGAGCTTTCCCATCCCGGAGCTTTTCCATCCCGGCGCTTTCCCATCCCGGAGCTCTCCCATCCCGGAGCTTTCCCATCCCGGAGCTCTCCCAGCCCGGAGCTTTCCCATCCCGGAGCTTTCCCGGAGCTTTCCCAGCCCGGAGCTTTCCCGGAGTTTTCCCGGATCCGCTGCTTCTGGCACCCAATCCCTTCCCCAGCGTGAGCTCCAGGGTCTGTGCCAGAGAAGATCCCGGAGCTGCTCCCAAATCCCAGCCCCAAATCCCAGCCAGAAACTCCTTGGGGTGGAGGCTGAGCCCGGAATGTTACATTATTCATAGGATAATATATTAATATTATCCATATGATTACTATATTCATCTTATTTTCATTCATAGAATAGAAAATATTATAATAACATTAAAATATAATATTTCTATTTTATAATAGAAAATATTACATGAATAATAATTATTTTCATATAATTATTGTTCCTATGTGAATATATGACTATATCATATAGATTCGTAATTATTGTTCGCATGTGAATATATGATTATATAATATAGGTTAATATATACATATATACACATTAACATATAAACATATGTTTATATGTTAATGTGTATATAATGTTTTTAACATAAATATATGAATATATGAATATATATCAATCTAGAAATACATTTTCATATATTCATATTAGATATATGGATATAATATATATATCCATATAAACCTTCCCAGGTTTATAATCAGCTGGATTATAAACCTGGGATCCTCTGGGATTTTCCCAACAATTTGGGGGTTTTTTTTTAGGAGGAGAAGTTGGGCCAGAAATGCTGCAAGAAATGAGGGAAACCAACCGGGTGCTGCTGGAAGTTCGGGATCTGTTGAAGCAGCAGGTGGGTGAAAAATTCCCAATTCCCGATTTCCTGAGGGCTGGGAATTCTCTGCTCATTCTGGAACTGGGGAGATCCTTCCTGGGCCTAATTCCCGGTTTTTTGAGGGCTGGGAATTCTCTGCTTCCTGTGTAGAGTGGGGAGGTTATTGCTACAAAACAGAACCCAGAGGTGGTTTGTAATTGGGAGATAAAGTTGGGAAAAACTCAGAGGTTGGGAGAAACTTCAGCCCGGCTGTTCCCTTGCAGATCAAGGAGATCACGTTCCTGAAGAACACGGTGATGGAGTGCGACGCCTGTGGTGAGTGCCAGCCGTGCCCACTACTGCCAGCCGCAATTCCAGCTCCATTCCAGCCGCAATTCCAGCTGCAATTCCAGCTGTGCCCACTGCTCCCTGCCCCGCTGCTGCCAGCCGCAATTCCAGCCACAATTCCAGCCGTGCCCGCTGCTGCCAGCCGCAATTCCAGCTGCCATTCCAGCTGTGCCCACTGCTCCCTGCCCCGCTGCTGCCAGCCGCAATTCCAGCCGCAATTCCAGCCACAATTCCAGCTGTGCCCGCTGCTGCCAGCCGCAATTCCAGCTCCATTCCAGCCGCAATTCCAGCTGCCATTCCAGCTGTGCCCACTGCTCCCTGCCCCGCTGCTGCCAGCCGCAATTCCAGCTCCATTCCAGCCGCAATTCCAGCTGTGCCCGCTGCTGCCAGCCACAATTCCAGCCATGCCCTGGGAGCAGCTTGAGACACCCCAGATCTGAGCCAGTGGCTCTGGGACACCCCAGATCTGAGCTGGTGACTTTGGAACACCCCATGGTGGCTTTGGGACACCCCAAGTTGTCCTGGTGGCTCTGGGACACCCCATGGTGGCTCTGGGACACCCCAAGTTGTCCTGGTGGCTCTGGGACACCCCATGGTGGCTCTGGGACACCCCAAGTTGTCCTGGTGGCTCTGGGCCACCCCGTGGTGGCTTTGGGACACCCCATGGTGGCTCTGGGACACCCCATGGTGGCTCTGGGACACCCCGTGGTGGCTCTGGGACTCCCCATGGTGGCTCTGGGACTCCCCATGGTGGCTCTGGGACACCCCATGGTGACTCTGAGACACCCGATGGTGGCTCTGGGCCACCCCAGGTTGTCCTGGTGGCTCTGGAGCACCGCAGGCTGTCCCGGTGGCCCCGGGGCAGTGTCTCAGGCGCCGCTGTCACTGTCCCACAGGGATGCGGCCGGAGGTGACGGGCCCGGTGGTGACGGTGACGCAGTTCAGCCGCTGTGTGCCCAACCCCTGCTTCCCCGGCGTGCCCTGCACCGAGAGCGGCGGCGGCTTCCGCTGCGGGCCCTGCCCGGCCGGCTACACCGGGAACGGCACGCACTGCGCCGACGTCAACGAGGTAAGGCGGCAGCGCCGGCCGTGCTGGCATTGCCATGGCATTGGCCTTGGCATCGGCCTTGGCATCGCCGTGGCACCGCCTGGGCATCGGCCTCGGGGGCAGGGACAGCCCTCAGTGCCTGCAGGAGCTGCAGCTCTGCACCTGGCACACGCTGGGGTTCCTGCAGGAGCTGCAGCTTTGTGCCTGGCACACTCCAGGATTCCTGCACTCTGGAATTCTGTGCCTGGCACGTTCCTGCACTCTGGAATTCTGTGCCAGGCATGTTCCTGCAGTCTGGAATTCTGTGCCTGGCACATGTGGGGTTCCTGCACTCTGGAATTCTGTGCCTGGCACACTCCGGGATTCCTGCACTCTGGAATTCTGTGTCTGGCACAAGCCGGGGTTCCTGCACTATGGAATTCTGTGCCTGGCACACTCTGGGATTACTGCACTCTGGAATTCTGTGCCAGGCACATGCCGGGGTTTCTGCACTCTGGAATTCTGTGCCAGGCACGCACTGGGATTCCTGCACTCTGGAATTCTGTGCCTGGCACGTTCCTGCACTCTGGAATTCTGTGCCAGGCACATGCCGGGGTTTCTGCACTCTGGAATTCTGTGCCTGGCACGTTCCTGCACTCTGGAATTCTGTGCCTGGCACACTCCGGGGTCCCTGCACTCTGGAATTCTGTGCCTGGCACATGCTGGGGTTCCTGCACTGGAATTCTGTGCCAGGCCCTCCCCAGGGAGGGTTTAGGGCCAGTCCAGTCAGGATTTCTCCCAACAAAACAAATCCTGAGGTTTGTGCCACACAGGGAGGGGACTTTGGAACCAGAGCTGCCTCCTTGGCTGAGGAGTTGTTGGAGATAAGATTGATTAGGTGTGGAGTGGGATCAAACAATTCCCAGATAATCCTGAAACAGCAAATTTTAACCACAGGGCTTTGTTTCTGCCCCTAAATCAATCCTTGCTGGGCAGATACGGTGTATTATTTGTAGGAAAATTTCTCTTTTTTCAGGAAATGTGGCATTCCACCAATTCTAAGCTCTGTGTGTGTGCAAAGCTCTGCTATCCGTGGATTTTTTTGTAGGGCTCCTGAGCTCTGTGCTTCCCAAACCATGAACTTGATTATCCTGCTCTTGCAGAACCTCAATTGCATTTCAATTAAAAAACCTGCTGAAGTTCCCATGGGAGATTCTGAGATTGTCAGTCCAAAATACGGGATTGGTGCATCTGCCAGCACAGAGCACCAAAATCCAGGGAAAATGATGAAGTGTCGGAGGAAGCAAAGCATGTGGCGCGATTTTGGAAAGGGTGGTGAACCAACAAGTGGTGTTGTGTTCCGAGGCCAGGGGGAGGAATTGTCCAGCCCCTGGGCTCTGAGGATTCGGGCAGGAGAAGGTGAAGCAAGAGCAGCTCCCTGCAGAGCTCCGGTGCCACCTGAGGCCACTCAGAGCTCCAGCCGGCTTTGCTGTACTGCAGCCCGGGGCCACCCGAGCTGGGGAAGCCCTGGAGGAGCTCCTGTGCCTCTACCTGCCTCCAGACTAAAACTCCAAGAGCTGGACGTGCCCGGGGCTGGAGCTGCCCCCTGGCACAGCCCTGGCACCCTCTCTCTTGTTTCAGTGCAATGCCAACCCCTGCTTCCCGAAAGTCCAGTGCATTAACACCAACCCCGGCTTCCGCTGCGACCCCTGCCCGCCCGGCTTCACCGGGCAGCTGCTGGAAGGGGTGGGCCTGGCCTTTGCCAGGGCCAACAAGCAGGTGAGAGCCTGGAACCTCCTGTGGCCTCGGGAGCTGGGAATCCTCTCCCCTCTGCAGCCGGGGCTCCAAGGCCTGCGCAGGAACGGGAGGGAAGCGCCAGGTGATGGTTCCTAAAGGTGGAAGGGATTCCTGAGTGATGGAAAAGGAGGGGCTGGGAGGGAATTCCCACTCCTGAGAGTGTCCCAGGCCAGCTTGGAGCAGCCCGGGGTACTGGAAGGTGTCCCTGGGGGTGGGGATGGGGTGAGTAAAGGTCCCTCCCCACCCAAACTGCTTTGGGATTCTGTGATTGCAGGTGTTGGTGGGAATGCAGGGAGAGGAGAGTGCCCAGGATGTCCTGGCACCTGAGCCCCAGAGCCACCTCCCCTGTGCCAAACTGGGGCTGGGCAGAGCATCCCAACACCTCTGGGGCTGTGGGGCCGTCCCGGGGATGGGAATGGGAATGGGAATGGGAATGGGAATGGGAATGGGAATGGGAATGGGAATGGGAATGGGAATCCTTCCTGCTGGCACACAGACGAGTTCCTGCAGCTGCTGCCACCCCCTCCCAGCTTCTCTGACAGCTCCAGGCAGATTAAAAATCCCAACAGCCTGGGCTGATTGGGGTTTTTAGGGATAATTATCCCACATGTGGCTCTGGGAATTTAGGGCTGGTCGTGGGATGCAGCCATTGAGCTTCCAAATCCATGGAGCCCCTTCCACAGTGAGGATATTCCAGCTCTGTTCCCAGGCTGGAACCTCTGCTGACTCTGGAGAGGGCTCTGAACCCTGCTGGGACCTGCCTCAAGCTTGGCAGCAGGAAAACTTGCTAGTGCTGGGCTAGTGAGGTGTGCCAGGGCTCTGCTGCTGCTGCTGGGCCCGCCCGAGCCCCGGGTTTTGGGTGGAGGGAAGCCAAAGGCGTGTCCTGTTCTCCCTGGGCAGGTGTGCACCGACATCAACGAGTGTGAGACTGGAGCTGCCACCAATTGTGTCCCAAACTCCATCTGCATCAACACTCGGGTAAATCCTCGGGGGTCTGGGAAGGGGCTCCAGGAGAGCTGGAGAGGGACTGGGGACAAGGATGGAGGGACAGGACACAGGGAATGGCTCCCAGTGCCAGAGGGCAGGGCTGGGTGGGAGATTGGGAACTGGGAATTGTTCCCTGGAAGGGTGGGGATGGGATGGGGTGGGATGGGATGGGATGGGATGGGATGGGATGGGATGGGATGGGATGGGATGGGATGGGATGGGATGGGATGGGATGGGATGGGATTCCCAGAGCAGCTGTGGCCACCCCTGGATCCCCGCAGTGTCCCAGGCCAGACCCCGGGACAGGGGGAGATGTCCCGAGAAGGGGCTGCGGGAGGGATTTCCCGGGATTCCCCTTCGAGCTCCTCCTCGCCGCTTTCCCGCAGGGATCCTACAAGTGCGGGGCCTGCAAGCCGGGCTTTGTGGGGGATCAGATCAGCGGCTGCCGGAGCCAGACGGCCCCAGGGACGCGGCGCTGCCCCAACGGCGAGATCAGCCCGTGCCACGAGAAAGCCGAGTGCATCGTGGAGAGGGACGGCTCCCTGTCCTGCCAGGTCCGGGGCACTGCTGCACCCTGGCACCGGGCACGGTGCCACCCTGCCGAGGCTGGGCTCTGCTCCCACCCTCCCCAGTCCTGGACTGGGCTCTGCTCCCCGCCCCTGTGAGATTGGGGTCTGCCCTGGTCCCGTGGGATGGAAGGGTCTGGTCTGACCCTCCTGTGTTTGGGGTCTGCAAATGGGGACTGGTCCCAGTCTCCCCCGAGACTGGGGTCGGCTCCCACCCTCCCGAGGCTGGGCTGGGGTCTGGTCTCGCCCTCCGGCCATCTGGATTTAATCCCAATTTTCCTGAGGCGGAGGTCTGGTCCCTCCCTCCCGAGATCAGGGTTGGGTCTCACACTCCTGTGGGTCTGGTCCGACCCCCGCCCCGGGATTTGGGTCTGATCCAACCCCCCAACAACAACTGAGGTCTGATCCAGCCACTCCTGGGGTTGGATTGGGGACTGGTGTGACCCCAGGCTCCTGCGGCTGGGGTCGGTGCTCGCTCCTGGTTCCCGCATGCCGCGCTCCTGTCCCGGTCTGCCCTGCCCTCTCCTGGAGAACGCCCTTCCCGAGCCATCCCTGCTGCTCCCGGGCTGCTCCCGCTGCTCTGGGGTTTCGCTTTTCCCTGCAGGGAATTCCCGGGGCTGGGCAGGATGCGCCCGGCAGCCTCGGAGCCGGGTCCTGCTGCCGGGATCTGCACTTTCGGGCTGTTTCCCGTAAATCCTTGCATTCCGGAGGCCATCGGGGGCTGATTTTTTGTGTCTGCCCTGCTGCAGTGCCTCGTGGGGTGGGCAGGGAACGGCTACGTGTGCGGGAAGGACACGGACATCGACGGGGTCCCCGACGAGAAGCAGCGCTGCTCCGACAAGAAATGCCGCAAGGTGAGGGCGAGGGCAGAAATCGGGAATTTCAGCCCAGTTTCGCTGCAGGACAGCCCGCGGGTGCTGCCGAGAGCCCCGGAGCTCAGGCTGGGCGCTGTCCCACGTCGCCGTGCCTCTGTCCCGGCAGGATAACTGCATGACCGTGCCCAACTCGGGCCAGGAGGACGCGGACCGGGACGGCATCGGCGACGCCTGCGACGATGATGCCGATGGAGACGGGATCCCGAACGCTGAGGTTGGGGTTCTGCTGGCCCCGCCGGGCTCCTGCAGGGCAGCAGCACCTGCAGGGGGAATTCAGGGGTCCCAGTGTGAATTCAGGGGTCCCGGTGGGAGTTCAGGGGTCCCAGTGGGAGTTCAGGGGTCCCGGTGTGAATTCAGGGGGTTCCAGTGGCAATTCAGGGCGTGCCGATGGGAATTCAGGAATCCCCATGGAATTCGGGGGTCGCAGTGGAGTTCAGGGGTCCCAGCATGACCCCGCTCTGGGGGCTCTGAGGGTCTCAGACCAGGCTGAGAACCCTTGGGATGCTGAAGGGACCCTCAGGGCCGGGAGCGGGGAGCCTGTCCTTGGTGAGCCCTGCCTGGGGACACCCTGGGGGGGTCCCGTGTCCCCGGCCCCTGTCCCTGGCCCCCTGTCCCCAGCCCCTGTCCCCAGCCCCTGTCCCCAGCCCGTGTCCCTGTCCTGCAGGACAACTGTGTGTACACGAGGAACGCCGACCAGCGCAACGCCGACAAGGACAACTTTGGGGACGCGTGTGACAACTGCCGGCAGGTGAAGAACAACGACCAGAGGGACATCGACGGCGACGGCCGGGGCGACGAGTGCGACGAGGACATGGACGGGGACGGTGAGAGCGGGGCAGGGCCCGGGCTGAGCCCGCTGGCACCGGCCAGCTCCGTCCTGGTGACAAAGCGGGCAGTGCCCCCGGGCTCAGCCCCTCAGGGCGCTGCTCAGCCTTGGGTTTATCATCGCTTTTATTGTCCATGCTCACACCCAGCCACATCCTGGCTGCCTTGTGCTGCCTTTTAGGGGAGAAACTGGGGAGTCTCCAAGCTGCCAGCAGCTCCTGCTCCAGGCTGGGGGGGTCAGGGCTGTCCCCTGGGGTGGGGACAAACCTGCTGGCTTTGGAAACGGATCTGATCACAGTTTGCACAAAAGCTGCACCCAGCAGCCAGGAATCCCAGCAAACAGCACCCCCAAATCCTGAAATCGTTGCTTTACCGTGAATTCACCCCCCCTGGATTTCTGTGGATCCACTCTCCCCTGTTTTCCAGGGATCAAAAACCCCATGGACAACTGCAGGAGAGTGCCCAACCCTGACCAGAGGGACGGGGACGGGGACGGCGTGGGGGACGCCTGTGACAGCTGCCCCACCCTCAGCAACCCTGACCAGGTACAGAGCCCCAGTGTGAGTCCTGCAGGGCCATTCCTGTCACCCCAGCCGTGCCTGTGTCACTGCCCAGGTGACAATTCCAGCTGCCACCTTCCTGCCCAGTCCTACTGCTGGAATTCTTCAGAATCCCCCCAAAAATTCCCACAGAAACTCTCCTGCTGTTGGTGGCTCTGTTCTCTCCCTTGCCTTTTCCTCTGGAAAATGGAAATGGTTCTTCCTTTATTTTTCTAGAAAGACACTGACCACGATCTGGTGGGGGATGTCTGTGACACCAACCAGGACAGGTGAGCTGCAGAAATTCCAAATTTTGTTTATTTGCCTGAAATCCTGGGGGTGAAGGGACCAAAGGGCTGTGACAACCCGGCTTGGCCTCATCTTATAAGAAACGGAGCTTTAGAGGTGGAATTTTCTCCAGCCCTCACAAAAAGTGACCACTGGAAGGAAGGAGCACTGCCAGAGCTGCCCGTGTTCAGCAGGAACATCCCCGAGCCGGCCCTGAACTGGCTGCGGGTGCCAGCCCCGGGGAGTTCCCGCGCTGGCACTGTGGGTGACGTCCCTGTCCCTGTCCCCTCTCCCCAGCGACGGGGACGGGCACCAGGACTCGCGGGACAACTGCCCCACGGTGCCCAACAGCTCGCAGCTGGACACGGACGGCGACGGGCTGGGCGACGAGTGCGACGAGGACGACGACGACGACGGCGTCCCCGACTTCAGGCCCCCGGGCCCCGACAACTGCCGGCTGGTGCCCAACCCCACCCAGGAGGACTCGGATGGTGAGGGCCGAGCTGAGCCCCACGGCTCCCCTGGGACCGCTCCGGGATCCGCGGGAATCCATTCGGGTGTTCCCGGGACCGACCGGTGCCAGACCTGGGCTGCTGGCAGCTGTCCTCAGTGCCAGCGGGGGCCAGGTTTGGGGTCAGGCTTGGGGTCAGGTTTGGGGTCAGGTCTGGGGTCAGGTCTGGGGTCAGGTCTGGGGTCAGGTTTGGGGTCAGGTTTGGGGTCAGGTTTGGGGTCAGGTCTGGGACCAGGTTTGGAGTCAGGTTTGGAGTCATGTCTGGGATCAGGTCTGGGATCGTGTCTGGGACTAGGTTTTGGACTATGCTTGGAATCAGGTTTGGGGTCATGTTTGGGAACACGTTAAGGATCATGTCTGGGGTCGTGTTTGGGGTCATGTTGGGGGTCATGTTTAGGATCACGTTTGGGGTCACGTTAAGGATCATGTTTGGGATCATGTTTGGGATCGTGTTTAGGATCACATTTAGGATCACGTTTGGGGTCAGGATCTCTCTCCCAGAAGTGCCCGGGGTTTGGGGGTTTCTCTACCAGCAGAAGAAGCCTCCAGGTTTCTCTGCAGCTGCCCGGGGCGTCGCAGTCCCTCGGTGCCCTCAGCTGGTGCTGCCGAGGCTGAGCAAAGCCAGGGCAGGAGCTGCTGCTCCAGGCTCCTTCCTCCTCCTCCTCCTCCTCCTCGTGCCCAGGGGACGGCGTGGGGAACCTGTGTGAGGATGACTTCGACAGGGACATGGTGATCGACAGGATCGACGTCTGCCCCGAGAACGCCGAGGTGACGCTCACTGACTTCAGGGCCTTCCAGACCGTGGTGCTGGACCCCGAGGGGGACGCTCAGATTGACCCCAACTGGATCGTCCTCAACCAGGTAGGGAGAGCCCAGCTGGGAGCCACCCTGGAGGCTTTTCCCTAAAAGCCTCCGTGGTTCTGCAGTGCCCAAATCCCGGAGTCGCAGCCCTGGAGCGGCACAAGAGGGAGTTTGGTGTGTCTGGAATTGCACCAAAGAGTCACAATTCCTCTTTCCCAGGGCATGGAGATTGTCCAGACCATGAACAGCGACCCTGGCCTGGCTGTAGGTGAGGAATTTTCCTTTTCCCTTTGGGAAATCATCACTCCACGCAGCTTTGATCAGCCACTGCTTAATGACTCCATCCACTGGTTCCTGTGGTGCACAGAGTCCAGATTCCCCCTGGCAAAATCCCCCTCCCCAGCCGAGTCCTGGCTCTGTTCTGCCCTGGAATGCAGAGTCTCTGTTCTGCTGCCCCTGACAGGGTACACGGCCTTTAACGGGGTGGACTTCGAGGGCACCTTCCACGTCAACACGGCCACGGACGACGACTACGCCGGGTTCATCTTCGGCTACCAGGACAGCTCCAGCTTCTACGTGGTGATGTGGAAGCAGATGGAACAGACCTACTGGCAGGCCAACCCCTTCCGGGCCGTGGCAGAGCCCGGGATTCAGCTGAAGGTAAGAGAACCCTGCAAATGAATTCCCTGCTGGGTTTTTGCCTTGGGATAAGCAGCTGTGTTGAATCTTTCCTGCACACATCGAGCAGGCTCTCCTCTGTCCCAGGCAGTGAAATCCAAAACCGGCCCTGGGGAGTACCTCAGGAACTCCCTGTGGCACACGGGAGACACCACGGACCAGGTGAAGCTGCTCTGGAAGGACCCCCGGAATTCCGGCTGGAAGGACAAGACCTCGTACCGCTGGTTCCTGCAGCACCGGCCCCAGGTCGGCTACATCAGGTGAGGCTCAGGGCAGGACCCTTCCCAGCAGGAAAAGCAGCCCCAGAATGGCTCTGGGAGGGAACTCACCCCTGGGCAGGGACACCTCCGCTGTCCCCTGGGCGCCCCCAGGGACGGAGCATCCCTGGGGCCGGGGCAGCTCCTGCCACTCCCTGCCTTGTTCCCCTGCAGGGCTCGGTTCTACGAGGGCCCCGAGGTCGTGGCAGACACTGGGGTTGTCGTGGACACCACCATGAGAGGGGGACGCCTCGGGGTCTTCTGCTTCTCCCAGGAGAACATCATCTGGTCCAACCTCCGCTACCGCTGCAACGGTGAGTTCGGGAAGGCGGACTCGGAGTTCTCCATTTTCCAGTCGTTCACGTGGACGCCTGCACAGGGGCAGCAAACAGGACCCGAGTCCATTCTTCCCTGCTGTTCCTGGCCCTGATCTCTCTTTGCTTTGCTGCTCAGACACCATCCCAGAGGACTACGAGACGTTCCGGTTCCAGCAGGACTAATCCCCGCGGAGCGTCCCCGCAGCCCGTCCTGCTTCCCTCCGTGCTCGCCCGCCCGCTCCCGCTCTGGAATCTGCCCCGAGAGCTGTCAGCACCTCCCAGCGCCCCCACAGCCTCCAGCTCCCCTTCCCCACCAGCAGATCCCTGAAAACGCTCCACAGATCCTCTGGGAGGGGCAGAGGTGGAGACAGGGAGTGTGACCAGAAGCGGAGCTGCTGCAGGCCCGGCTCAGGGCCGCGCTGGGAGCTGCCTGCAGCAGCTGCAATGGTTGGAGAAGGTTTGGCGTGGACGATTCCCAGGAATCTTCTCCCTGCTCCAAGGCTCCAGAGTGTCAGTGTTGTTTTCCTTTTCAAGACCTGCTGCAAAGCAAACTCAGCACGAGTCTGGGAGGGACGCGCGGAGCAGCCTCGGTACAAGTTGCTCACTTTAATAAATGAAAAAGCACTTTAAGGAGAGAATCTTTGCTCTGGAATGTTGGAAAAGGAACACTTGGAATGCTGGATAATAAATTCTAGATTTCTCCTTGGTCACGTGTGTGTTCTCTCCACTCTTCTGAAGCTTTTCCCTTGCAGAGGTGGAAGGGAGGAACCCTGCAGGGCTGAGCTCAGGGGGGCTGACAGAGCCCAGGGCTGGATTGGGAATTTTCCTGGAAATGCCGATGCATGGAGGCACCTTTTCCTCAAGAACCTCCCTCTCCTCAGCCCTGGTTCTTGCTGGAACAACAAATTAAAGCTTCGTGCTGGGTGTGTCACCGTGCCAGGGCTGCACACACAGCCGAGGAGCTGGGAAAATGCTCCTGGCCCTGCTGCGAGAGGTTTTCCACAGCTGAAACCTGGGAAGCCTCAAATCCCTGTCCCTGCCAGGTAACCAAACCCCGGGGAACATTCTGGGGACAGTTTGAATTCAGACCTCACAAGCTTTTAGAGCAGCTGCAGTTTCCCCTTGAAGAGTCCCCAGTTCAGTTTTCAACCAAAATAATCTGATTTTGCCATTTCCTTATCGACACTGAACTCCCAGCAAACCAACAACAAGCGAAACAAAAAGCTGAGCAGCCAGAGGCAAAAACATTTCAACTTTTATTCCGTTTCCTTTACAAGGAATGCAAAGATACAAAGACAAAGAAGCCTTCGCACAAAAAAGTCAAGGTGGGAGAGGATGCACACGGAGCTGAGCTGCGTTTTCACATCAGGTCTGGTCGCAAACACTTAAAGCCAACGTCGGTTTTCCACTTTACCCAGAGAAAAACACAGTAAGTAAATCTTTGCTGGCACAGGGACAGATTTTCCTGCCTTTCTGTGGCCCTGCTGCTGCACTGAGCAGGGTTTGTTTGCATAAATCAATGAAATCACCCACAAATTGTCTGAAGAGGAAAGTTTTAGGTGTGACCCAAAGCCACCAGCACGGCCGGGCCCTCAGAGCTGCCTGTCCCTGTCCCTGCCTTGTCCCTGTCCCTGCCCTGTCCCGTCCCTGTCCCTGTCCCCAGGGTCACCACGGCTCTGGAGTGTCCCCACAACGCTCCCAAACTTCCACCTCCACAGGGGAGAACTTCCCATGGAGGTGGCAGAGCCTGGAACTGCTCCAGGGAGGGTCTGGGCACATCCCAAACCCACCTGGGGATGTCCCAAACCCACCTGGGGACGTCCCAAACCCACCTGGGGACGTCCCAAACCTACCTGGGGATGTCCCAAACCCACCTGGGGATGTCCCAAACCCACCTGGGGATATCCAAGGATTCCAAGGTTGGAATTCTACAATTCAAACTCAACCCCCTGCTCTTCACTCCCAGCAGTAAATCCCACAGGGCCCAGCTGCCTTTGGGATCCTCTCCCTTTTTTTCCATGGGATCCTCTCCCTTTTTTCCACAGGACCTGCTCCCTTTTTTCCACAGGTTTCTCTCCCTTTTCCCCCCAGGATTCTCTCCCTTTTTTCCACAGGATTCTCTCCCTTTTTTCCACAGGATTCTCTCCCTTTTTCCCACAGGATTCTCTCCCGTTTTTCCACACTTCTCCCATCCCACCCCTCCACCCCCTGAAGACAAGAGCCAGCGGATTTTACCCCTTCAGGCCTTTATTTTGATAAAATTGGTCAAGCCCACATAAGGCAACGCACACACGGCTCCGCCCGCCCCCCGCCCGCCCCAACCGCCTCGGAAAATAAATAACACAAACCAAGAGAGGACTCCATGTAGTGTTTCGCTTTGCAGTATAGAAATTCCACACAATGATTCTGTTGTGTTGTTGTTAATTTTTTTTGTTTGTTTTGTTGGTTTTTGTTTTTTTTTTTTCTCCCTGTTTAAAAAGGTAAAAATGATTTATAATACACAGTCAGAATGTCGTGGTGCCCGCATAGAAAACCGACATGCAATCCATGCCTACACTGCGCCGTATAAATAAGATGCAACTCAAAATACAAAGAACAGGAACACTACAAAGTTTAATTCTAAGAGGGAAGGAGGGTTTTTTTTGGGTTTTTTCTTTTTCCTGGTTGTTTTTTAAAAAGGACAGAGACACGTAACAAAGGCTACCTGTGCTTTCACATTGCCATCACAGTGACGGGGGGGCCGTTGCTCCGAGGAATAAACGCGCTGGTTTTGGGGTTTCTCCCGAAAAAACAGCCAAGGTCGGGATCTGCGGGGGAGGAGGGGCCTTCCTGCTTCCTTCCTGTCCAGAGGGGCTTTCCAGGGGCTTTCCTCAAGGGAGCAGCTCAAGCCTCAGTTGTTGTCTTGGCAGAAATTCAAGGTATTAGGTCCGAGGGCTCGCTTTTGAGGGAAATTTAGGTAAACTGCTTTTAGATAAACTCAGGGCAGCTTTTGGTCTTGGAATCATGGAATTGAGGTTGGGAAAGAGCCACTGAATCAGGGCTGGGAAAGAATCACTGAATTAAGGCTGGAAAAGAACCTGAATCGAGTTTGGAAAAGAATCACCAGATTAGGGCTGGAAAAGAACAACCGAATCCAGGTGGGAGAAGAAAAAGCAAATTAATGTTGGAAAAGAATTCTGGAATCAAGGTTGGGATGGAACAACCAAATCAAGGTTGGAAAAGACTTCCAGGACCATCAAACCCAACCTCCCTCTGAGCTGAAGGTTCACCATGAGCGCTCCCAGAAACGAATTCGCCGAATAATCCACGGCTGCCGAGGCCACTGGCGGCCCTTCCTGGAGAGGTTTTCCCCTCTGGAAAATGGAAAATCAGCCCCGGGGGCAGAGCCCAGCCCAGGCTGCGTGGGGCACGGGGGGGGCTGGCAAGCGCTCCCTGCCATGCAGAAGCCGTGGGAGCCGGGCCGGTCACGCACGCCCAGAGGGGGAATTATGTACAGGGAAAGAGCCTCCCCCAGCCAGGGCTGGGCTGGCTGCTGGAAAAAATCACAGTTTTGGGTGCACCGAGGGTTTATTCCTGCTCTTCCCCATTGTATTGGCAAATGCAACAGTCTAGCTTGGGAATTGGGGTTAATTCCTTATGGAGATAGAAAAACACGGCGGGAGGGAGGGGGGGACCAGAAGGGAGGGTGGGACAGTCACCCCTGGGACACCAGACAGCTTCACCACCACTGAACCCAAACGTATCAAGAACAGCCATTAACACCATTTTCTCCTTGGTTTGTTTTTTTCTTTGCTAAGTGATGGCTTTCCCTTTCTGCTCCCACCCGTGGGGAGGGAGCCCCACACACTGAAACGAGAACAGGGTTGTTACATTTGAAATAAAAGCAGATTTTTTGTTCTGGGAACACTTGGGTTTGCTTCCAGATCAGCCTGATGCCACAAAAACTGGAATTTGAAGGAGTGAGAAAGGGGGAATCCTCTGGGGCAGCTCCCACATGAAAGGTTCCCCTGGGGGAAGGGAAAGGCAGGAGCTGCTGGAATCCCTGGATCTCACGGGGTCGGGATGAGAAGCAGCTTCTCCCTGGCCACAGCTGGAGCCCATCCTGCCACACATCCCAGCTCCTTCCCTCTCCCGAGGGACTAAACCTGCATTTCTCCCAGCTGGAGGGTCCCTAACTGTGACAGTTGCATCCAAGGTGTGTTAGTTTGAAATTAAGGCGATTTTCAAGGTCTACTTACAAGTCTAAGAAACAAAGAGCTCTTATTTACACAGGGAGTCAGAAATCTGGGAAGCCCAGCTCCTGCTGGCTGCTCCCTCGGAGTGCCCCTGGCGTGGCAAACTCAGCCCAGCCAAGGACTGCACGAGCACGGAGTCATTCCAGCAGGAATCGCCCCACGGAGCTCCGGGAGCTGCACCAAGCTCTCCCTGCACCTGCAGCTAAAGGCTCCCGGCAGCTGGGCCCGAATTCCTCCTGTTCTTCCCAGGCTTCCTCCTCTTTGAGCTGCCTTTTATCTCCTCCCTTCACTGAAAAAGCATCAGGGATCAGCACGGAGCCAGCAGGAGTGAACCTGTCCTACCGAGCTCGAACCCTGCCAAAAATCCCAAAACATTCCCAAGAGATGCGGGGAAACCTCTGCAGGGCGTGGAGAAGGACAAAATTAAAACAAACAAACAAACAAACAAACAAAAACCCCAAAAAACAAAGAAAACCAAAAAGACACAGGGAAGCCAAGAAAAAATTCCACATTTTTAGTGCAAATGGTCAACAAATGGCACAGAAGGCGAGGGGATGCCTGGGGCTGGGAGATCCTGACCTGCTCCTGCTCAGCAGAGCAGGCAGGAATCCCACCCCGATTTCTGGAAGCACACAGAAACTTGGTATAACTCATTAGAACTCAGCAGTGAAGGTCATTAATTGCAGGGGACTCTCATTAATTGCAGGGGAACTCGTTAAGAGCAGCCAGTGTTGTCCCCAAAGAGGAGAAGCTCTGGCATCGGGAGTGCCAGGGCTGGGATTTCCCTGGGCTGGAGGCAGAAGGAAAATCCAGGTGGGGCAGGAGGGCTGAACAAACCCCAGCTGTGGGATGGGATCTGAGGGAACGGAATCCCCAAAATCCTGCTCCCAACCCAGGCTGGAGGCGCCTCCCCCTCCAGGAGCAGCTCGCCCTGGGGTGAGTTAATTAGTTAATTAATGAATGACCCCAAACCCTGTTCATTCCTGATTAATTCCTGCCATTCCCCATGCAGATCCCAGTGGAATGAGGATGTTCCAGCAGCGCCCTTTAATTCCATTCATTCCCACAAACCTGGGATCACCTTCCAGCCAGCCAGAGTGAAACCCCCAATTCCCAGCCTGAGCAATCTGCATGGGATTTTGGGGATTTTTTTTTTTTTTTTTTAATTTGCAGCACAAAATATTCACAAGGACCATCCAAAATGATCAATTCTCCATTTAATTAAACAGATTTTTGGAGGATTCAATCCTGGTCATTGTGGAACAAGAGATTTTTTCCCCTCAGGTGAATGAAGGAATTTTTAAGTTCCAACCACCCTATTTTGCCTATTCCAAAGGAAAACATCTAAACTTGCCTTAGGCTTCCTTATTCCTGCTTATTCCATCTGTTTAAAATTCCAGTTAGTTTAAAAATACGTACATATATAATATATATAATATATTTCTGGAATAAAACCACAAAAAAAAAGTACTGTACAAATATTATGTAGAGTGCTTCCATTGGCTGTATGTAGTTGAGCTACTTTCCTAATATCCAAATATTTAAATAAAATTTTAAAAAAAGAAATTAAAACAACAACGACAAAAAAAATCATAAATAAGTAACAGAATAAGTAATGAATAAGAATAAAAAATTAAAAAATCATGATTCTACGAGCCTGGCATTGCTATGGAAATGCCATTCCTGTTGCCCAGGAATCTCTGACAAAGTAAAAATTAGGATTATGCAGGTTAGTCTCTATTTCTTTTTAGCTGCTTTAAGATGTTCTGATCCTCTGTCTAATCAAGTAATGAATTATAGAACTTTCATGTGTGCTCAGAAATGCTCTCTATATATGTAGCCATATATAGAAATAGATATATATTACATATATATTTAAAAAAAAAAACCCAAAACTTAACAAAACAAAAACATAAAAAGCTTGGAAAAAATAGTGTTTAAAGTGGACTTTTGGGACTGGTGGCCGGCGGCGGCTCCGCTGTGCCGGGATGGCCGGGGCAGGAGGGAGGGACAAGAGGGTGGGACACAGGTGGGGACACAGGTGGGGACAGGCAGGGCCCCTGGAGGATGCCAGGCTGGGACACAGGTGGGGACAACGCCGGTGCCCCAGAGCGCAGCCCCAGCTGCAGGGACGGTGGCAGGGCAGGGATTTGCTCCCCAGGGCAGCAGGAGGAGGGGGCACAGCCCCAGCCCGACCCCAGAGGGGCTCTGCGGCACCTCCTGCCCCTGCCCCGCTGCCCAAAGCCCCTCAGGTGCCAGGGGATGCGGGCACGGCCCCGCCAGAGCTCTGCTGGGGGAAAGGGCGGCTCTGGAGAGGAAAACCAATGGGAAACCGGGGAAAAAAACCAGGGAAAACCGGACAACTCCTCACTGCTGGACTGGACGGCAACAGCGGCTCGGGGGTGACATCGCTGGGCGCCACGGGGACGGGGGCTCGGCAGCGCGGCAAGCTCAGAACAACAAGCTGTGGTTACTCATTGTACAGGGGACACGGAGCAGCTCTCCCTCCGGGGTGGGACGGACCCGCCGGGGTGGGACAGACCCTCCAGGATGGACCCTCCAGGATGGGACAGACCCTCTGGAACAGGATGGACCCTCCGGGCCGGGATGGACCCTCTGGGACGGGCCGGAGCCTCCCAGGTCCTGCGGAGCTGGCGGCGGGTCACAGCCGGTCCATGCGGAACGTGTCCTCTGTGGCGGGGTCGGTGAGGACCATGTCGGGGTCGTTGAGCATGTGCAGTCCATCCAGGGTCAAAGGGTCAATTTTGAGTTCATCCAGAGGGAACTGGGAATCCGTGTCGAAGCTGACGTCCCCCACTCCTGCCAAGGAGCTGGTCAGTTCTTTTGATAAGCTGGGGGGGGATTCTCCTGTCACTGCAGGGGACAGAACACATGGGGGTCAAACACCAGTGTGGAGGTCAGAAAACAGCTCCCACAAACCCTGGAGATGTTTATGGAGCTCTCAGGTGAGGAACATCCACCCTCCATCACACTTCTGATTCCTCACGGCATCTCCGAGCCACCAAACACAACCCAAAATTTGGTGTCACTGGAGCCTTTTCTCTCCCTCAGCTTTAGGAGGAATAACCTCAATTTCCACCATTCCCATCAGCAATCCCTGGTTTTCACAGGGTGAAAAAGTAGAATTTTGGGGTTTTTAGAATGGGGTTTGAGGGGAGAAGATGGATTGGGCATGTCCTGGCCTTCTTCTCATTTTCTTTCTCCTTGCCCTCCATGCCTTGCTGTGATGGTGACACTGTTCTGTTGGTTTAAGGTAGAGACACACTGCCCAACATAAATGATTGATATTGGTGCATTATTGTAAATATAGCACATGTGGGTTTGGGTATAAAATGTGAAATTTTAGTATAAAATGTGTAAATTTTAGTATAAAATGCCCTAGAGGGCAGACAGAATGCCATGGCCGAGCTGCTGGCCAGAGCTTAGCAGGGCAGACGAAGAATGTTCTAGATAAGGGAAAATAAACAACCTTGAGAAGCCGACCCTGCACATTCAGACTCCTTTGGCTGCAGGCTGGGACAAAAAGGACTTTTACTCTCCGGGGGTCACCCCGACAGCCGGACCCCCACGCCGCAGCGCGCACGGGGCCGGGCAGGGGGTTACCTGTCAGGATGATGTTGGGGATGTTGCTGTGGCTGGAGTAGTTGAGCTGCTGCGAGTCCTGCAGGCTGCCGTGGCTGCCCGTCAGTCCCATCATGGCAGCCTGCGAGTAGTTGAGCGTGGAGCAGGGGCTGTAGAGGCTGTTGGAGCTGATGGCGTTCTCGATCATGTTGAACTGCTCCAGCTGCAGGGGACACACCACGGGTTAACGGGCAGCCCTGGCAGGGACGGGGGACGAGGACACGCTCCAGGACAGACAGACAGCAAACAAATTCATCTTTCCTCGCTCCAAACGGGGCGCTGGGCCCCGGCCCCGCTCGGGAGGGGAGGCACGAGCCAAACCGGGCACGGGACGGGCAACAGAGGAAAAGGGAGGTTCAGGGGGAAATAAAGGGAATTCGGGCTCACCCCGGGGTCTCTGCCCAGTAGGATTCCCTCCAGGACACTTCCCAGGTTAAGTACTCCATAATTTCATTAATTTAATTCCAGAATTAAACTCAATAATTTAACTAATCAATGCTCTGAAAGAGAATTCAGGCTGGCCCCAAGGTCTCTGCCCAGCAGAATTCCCTCCAGGACACATCCCAGGTTAAGTACTCCGTAATTTAAATAATTTAATTCCAGAATTAAATCCGATGATTTAATGAATCCATGCTCTGGTTGGCCAAACCAAGGGAGGGTCTGATTATTCCCAAATTAAACCAGCCACGGATTATTCCCAGATTCCTGAGTCAATCCTGACAAGGGAATCCTTCCCAACTGCAACTCCAGCCAGAAATGTGGAGATTGAAATATTTCATTATTTTTACTCTTCAATGTATTCCCATGATGTTTCATTTTAAAAAATTTCAGTATCTTAAATTTTGTCAGAACTATTTTCATTACTTTAGAATTCTTGGTTTGTAATTTTAAAATTTAATTTCATACTTTTCCTTGATAAAATATTCATTTAAAAATTCATTACTTTAAAAAATTTTGGTTTTCCTTTTTATTTTTTAAAGCTGATTCTCATTATTTAAAAACACATTTTCATTATTTTTCTTTGTAAAAACAAATTGTCATTACTTAGAGATATTCAGTATTTTTCCTATTTCAAATGTCACTATGTTTCCTTTTAAAGTTTTCATTACTTTAAGTTTCTTCTTATTTTTCCTTCTTAAAATGAATTTTCACTATTTTAAAATCTCAGTATTTTTCTTCTTTCAAATTTCATTATTTTTCCTTTTTAAAGTATACCATTATTTTAAAAATTTATTTTCCATAATTTAAAAAATTCATATCCTTGTTTTTCCTTTTCAAAATGGATTTTCATACAAAAATATTCACTCTTTTTCCTCTTTCATATTTCATTATTTTTCCTTTTTATACATTTTTTAATTGATCTCCCATTTTAAAACCTCCATTCTTATATTTTTTAATTTATCTCCCATTTTAAAAGCTTCATTATTATAGATCAATTTTCAGTATTCAGTATTTTATTAAATATTAATTATGAATATTAAATGTTAAATAATAAATAATAGTCAATATTAAATAGTCAACATTATAGATGAATTTTTTAATTGATCTCCCGTTTAAAAAGCTTCATTATTAAATATATATTTTTAATTGATCTCCCATTTTAAAAGTTTGATTATTAAATATTTTTAAATTGATCTCCCATTTTAAACCTTCATTATTATACTCTCCCATTTTAAAACCTCCATTATTACACATTTTTAAAATTGATCTCCCATTTTAAAACCTCCATTATTACACATTTTTTTAACTGATCTCCCATTTTAAAATCTTGATTATTATACATTTTTTAAATTGATCTCCCATTTTAAAAGCTTGATTATTATACATTTTTAAAATTGATCTCCCATTTTAAAACCTCCATTATTACACATTTTTAAATTAATCTCTCATTTTAAAACCTCCATTATTACACATTTTTAAAATTAATCTCCCATTTTAAAAGCTTGATTATTATACATTTTTAAAATTGATCTCCCATTTTAAAACCTCCATTATTACACATTTTTAAATTAATCTCTCATTTTAAAACCTCCATTATTACACATCTTTTTAAATTGATCTCCCGTTTTTTTTGGCAGAACACCTGCGTGGGATGGGACAAGGAGAGGGGAGGGAAACCAAACAAAACAAGAAACAGCAAAATAAAAAAAACAAAACGTGAAAACTGCGGGTGGACAGGACGGACGGGAGGTGACGAATTAACGGAGTTGTTAATTAATTGGGGTTAATTGGAGGCGGGGTGGATTTGCTCACCTGGTGGGAGAGGGCATTAGCCTGCCTAGCTGTCAGCTGCTGCTCATAATAGGAGTCCCCAAAAACACTGCCCAGCATGGAAGAATGCTGCAACAAAACAGAGGCGGCATGCTGCGAGACCCCGGGGAAACCGGGAATACCGGGAAAACCGGGAACGCCGGGGGAACCGGGATGCAGAGAAAAACTGGGATTCCTACAAAACCGGGAATGTTGGGGGAAAACTAAGAGTGCAGAGAAAAACAGGGATTCCTAGAAAACTGGGAATGTTGGGGGGAAGTGGGATTGCACAGAAAAACTGGGATTCCTGGGAATGCCAGAGAAATCTGGGAGTTCAAGGGAAATTTGGGAATTCAGAGAAAACCAGGGATGGCGGGGAAAACTGGGGATGCCAGAGAAATCTGGGAGTTCTGGAAAAAGCTGGAAATTCCAGAGAAATCTGGGAGTTCTGGAGAAATCTGGGAATTTCTGAGAAATCTGGGAATGCCAGAGAAATCAGCATGGAGTGGGCAGGAATCGCTCGGGGCCCTCAAGGGAATCCCACAGGACCCAGAGGATCCCACAGGAATCTCACGGAGCACGAGGGAACCCCTCAGGATGATGAAAATCCCACAGGAATCTCAAGGAGCGCTGGGAAACGGGCAGGGACAGCAGCACTGTGATTTCTGGGGCATTTTGTGGATTTCTGGGGGATTGTGTGGAATTTCCCCCCACTGGATCGGCAGCCCCAAGGGGCAAAATTCCCGATTTAAAGTCATGAGCTGCAGAGCAGGAAAGGTCAGGGGGAAGCTCAGTGAGAATTCCAGGAAGAATTCCTCAGCCCTGTCCAGTCCCTCAGTTATTCTCCATCATTTATCAATTATTCTAAAGGTGACCAAGAATTTGATGTCCATCCTGACCAAAAATACCAAATAAAAATCGGCAACATCATTTCTGATTTAAAATTCCCAAATTCTGATATTCCAGCTGAAAATAAAAACCATTAACTGACAAAGAGGACATTTCTAAAAGACAATTCCCATGGAGTGGTTGTCTCAGTCTTGGAAAACAAAATTCAGTTGCTGGCTTATCCACATGGCAAAAGCAGAAAGCCACAAATTTCCTTCTTAGAAACCTAAGTATGGGAAATTCAGGGAAAGTTTAGGAAGAATCAGAACAGGCACGGATTTTAGACCCCACGGATGGTTTGGATGCACCTGAGGAGGAGATTTGGGATTCCCTTTCCTGAGCATCGATGGCCTGTCAGAGCCAGACCACCCAACAACCCCTGCTCCACGTGCAGCCAGAACTGGGAGAGGGCTGGAACTGGAAACTTCTCCAGTTTATCACCTGCTCATCAGCGCTCCAGAGGCTGCTGGATCCCAGGAAAAAGGGATCAAACACCCCTGGGAAAAAGGGATCAAACACCAAAGAGCCACTGGTAAGATGCTGATAAGAGAAAAGCAAAGCACCACTTAAAGCAATTTAAAGAAAATGTGGGGGCTTTTAACCAATCTAAATCCAGCCCAACCTATGGTTTATAACCATTTCCAAGGAAAACCTGAATTTTGGGATGGCACAGGCTTGACAGGAAGCAAAACCAACACTAAAATACAACGGGTATTTGAGAGTTCCACAGAGGATCAAGGTATTTTGTCCCTTTCACTCCTGTGGTTTCATTCCACAGAACAGGAATGAGAGGACAATTCCCAAAATGAGGACAATCCCTAAAATCTTTGTTTCACCAAGCACTGTTTCCATCCCAAAAAACTTTTGAAGTAAGTCAGAGGAGAGCAGAACGTGCTCATGCAAGTCCAGGTCAGAGCCTCCCACCCAACCCCAGGCTGGGTTTGCTCCTCCTGTGAAGTGTGCTGGTTCCTACAGCTGCGAGCACGGAAATTCCCAAAGGAAACCCAAAATTCCCACTGGAAATGTCATTCCTTCAACACTTCAGAGCCTCAGAATAATTTATCAACAGCTCCAGGAGCAACACTGCACAAACGTCATCTCCAGAACCACTGGAGAATCACCAGAGCATCTCCTGTGAGGAAAAACCAACCCCAAAGCACAAATCCCTGGCTGGGATGATCCAGCCAGGAATACCTACCAGGTTCTCCAGGTCAGAGCCACTAGAGCAGGAATGTTTGTGTCTAACTGGAACAGGAATGAGGGTGAGAGCAGGGGAGCACAGCCCAGGCACTGGGGTGGAAGCCATGCAAACACAGAGTGGGGGGCAGGCAGAGCTCTCCCGTCCTGGGGGGACTGGGAGCACTGGTGGGACACACACACACGGCTGGGACACGGGAGCAGGGGGCTTGGGAGAGGTGGGAGCACGGAGAAGAACCTGTGGTGGATGTGGGACACAAACCAAAGCCCGGGTTTGTGGTTTAGGAAATGCCCTCTGGCACTGTGGGGATGGAACCCCAAATCCACGGGAGGAAAAGGAGCACGTGGAGGCACCTGCCCGGCCACTGCACCCCACTGACAGTGCCAGGCTGCTCACAGTGGGATATTCTGCTGTTGGAAGGGATCTGCCAACTCTGGGCAGGTCAAGGGATTCTGCTGCCTGGAGCTGCCCCCATTTCCCCTCCAAACTGGTTTTTCTTCTCTCCACATTTCATGTTTGTGACCATCACCAGCTTTTGGGCCATTCCTGGCGGCACCGAATCCACCTCAGTTTTAATTTAGCCAAACTAAGGAATTCTGTGGATATTTAAGAGGCCAAAACTACAGAGAGCAGAACTAATAAATCCTCTGCCCTCCACTCAAGAGTTGTGGCACCGCTGTCAAACACAGTAAAACTTGAGGAAGTTCTTACAGGATAAAACCAGCAGGAAAAATCATACCAGTGTGTGCTCTGGTCCTTGGGACTGACCAGTGGGGACAAAACCAAGCCAGAGTGATTGAGAAATCAAAGGGGGGAAAAAATCAACATAAAGCCCAAATTTGGACATGCTGTCCAGTGAGAGCTGAGAGTTTGCAGCATGCTCTGCTCTAGGGGACAGTGCTGGTTTCTGGAGGCACACAGAGCACAGCAGAACCCACAGAAGCAGGCAGAAGAGAGAGGTTAAGAGGCAGGTAAGGCAGGGTTAAGGAAATGCAGACAATTCCTGCCACTCGGATCCAGGGCTGAGCTTACCATGACCTGGCTAATGAAGGAGACCTGGAGCTTCTGCCTGGGAACCATGAAGGGGGCAGCACTTATTTAGAAAGGATCCTCCTTACAGCCTTCAACGTTCAGTGATGGAACAGAAAATGGATTTTCAGACTCTTGTGATGCTCTGGAAGAATTCCCTGCACTTCTTTTCTCCAGGTGGGATTCTCCAGAGCAGCCAGCTGGGGCTCTTTCAGCAGCATCAGGCACTGAAAATGCACTTTCTTACATAGGGGCACCTTCAAATTTTGCCTGGTTTTAATGTCTTGCTGCTGGCAGGTAAAAAAAAGCTCTTCAGAGGATCACACACTCCCCCAAGTCGTGATTTCCATCCAGGACATGTGGATGTGCGAGGAGATACAGGCAGAGCAAGGAAAAGCAGCTGGCATGCAAGGGAGTGTGCTGGGAACCCATTCCCTGCCAGCCACAAGCTGCTCATTTTAGGAGCATTTTCTCCAGTGTTTTCTCTCACTGGGTGTGCTCTCACATAGAAAAGATCCTGATCTAAATCATTTTGGGATATTTAGTGTAAATATTTAAATATTTAGTGCCGCAGGAGTTTTCCTGCTGCAGGAGGCACTGAAATTCCCCCTTTCTCGCCCTCCCAACCTCACACCCACCAGCTCCCCTGGGATCCTGGCAATTGAAAGGATTCCACCTGGAGGTTCTCCCCTCAAACCAAACCACCCAGCGCTGCAGCAGCAGCCTGACGCTGTGGTTCTGATCTCCCTGTCCGAGGCAGCTGAGCAGCTCCTGAGCCCGTGGGAGTGGGGATGGAGGGGCGGCGGTGACGCATGAGGCACACACGGGTCACAGTGAGACAGCTGTGGGGCAGAGATGGAGAAATCCAGCTGGAACACACACGAGAAGCAAGGCCTGTGGAAGCACAGAGTCCCTTACTTGAGGGGAGCTGCCAGGAGAGAAGCCTTGATTGGAGACAGGAGAGGTGGGAGACTGGTTGGCTGGGGAGCCAGCATTACTGCGGTACTGCTGGAGTGAGGCCTACAGAACAACACAGAGTTAAACAGCGTGCCCTGAGGGAGCCCTGCAGAACACCAACACCCTCTGCACAGTCTGTGGGGGACACAGCATCATGGCAATGAGCTCCCCAGAAACGGGGGACAGCCCCAGCGCAGGGCAGGCACAGCTGGGAGCATTTCCTGCCTGCTCTCACTTATGCTCCGTTCAAAATATATTAAAAAAAAAAAAAAAAAATCAGGTCAGCCAAGGATTTAGGGCAAAGAAGTCTTGGAAGCTGGGAATAATTCAAAAAGAATGTCATTCATGCTTCAGTTCCAGTTCCAGCCCCACGTGTGTGCTCAGTGGGATGCTGCTCTGCCTCCAGCTGTGTTACCAGCACGGCGCAGGTGAGAACACCTGAGTGACAAACCTGGGCTCCAAAGCTGCCCCACGCAGCCCCAAACTCCACTGCGCCCCAGGACATGGAGCAGGCAGCCCCAGGGAATTCACACTGTGCTCTGCACGCTTGTATCTGGGATTTTTATACTCTTCTCAGGTGTCTTGAGAAGTTATTTTCAAAAATTTAGGTTTTTTCCATATAATAAAAAACCCTGGTTTGTAACAAATTAATAATATTAATGGTATTTAAATAATGCTGCACTAATTAACATCAAGAGTAGCCCAGCTCTTCTTATTTTACTTTCATTAGAAATTAAGGGGTGATTGAGGAGAACCTGCAATCCAGTGAATTTAATCAGATTTGCAGTATGGGAGAACTCTGCACTGCCAATTTTTCACCCTTAATTCTCTAAATCCTGAGAAAATTTCCCCTTTTGCTCTGCATTGCCACTTACAGCCTGTCAGAAGTCGTACAAACTACAAATAAATTTCAATTCTGCTTTGCAAAACCTGTGCAGAAGTTGCCAGCAAGGCTGTGACAGCTCCAAAGGCTTTTTGACAAAGTGGCTTTAAATCTGTTTATTTAGGAATTACCTGAGTTGCTTTAGAAGATAAACACAGCAGCCTAAAAGTTCAGGTCATAAAGAGGTTTAGGATGAGGAAAGCAACACAGAAAGCAAAGGATGAGATCAGAATTGTCTGTACTGGTGCTACATGAGGGTTAGAATCAAAACAGGGACAGGTTTTGAGTGGGGTGGGATCCTTTCCACTGCTGGGCTGTCCTTCCCATCCTGGAAGGGAAGCAGCTGCTCCCAAGGAGCACCAACTGTTAAAACTTTCATCCACAACAGAGCAGCAGAACTGCTTTGTTCTCATTCCCAAAGCCATTCCTGTCAGGGGCTGGGGGAGCTGGGACCTCCCCTCTTTCCTGGCCTGCGATTCCTGATTTGGGATTTTCAGCTGCTGAGACACAACAGTTCCTAACAGGCCACGTTAGAACAAGCAGGAAAAGGGATCTGTCCGTAAATCCCTGCTCCAATTCTTCTGGGCACTGGAGGCAGCCACAAATCTCACTTTGGAATACACGCTCTAAAATTCCTCGAAATAAAAGAGTTCTAAGTAGTGAAACTGCAGAGAATACCTGGTTCTAGACAGCTTTTGGAAAATGGATTTTCCAGATGGCATTTGACTGGGAAATGGTTGTTGTGGCTGGACTCTCTCTCAAGGCTCTGGGAGCTCCCCCAGTCTGTATCATGATGTGTTGGGGGGACACTGAACACCCTGAAAATCCCCTAGTAAATACTGATAGATTTAAGCTGGGTCTAATCAAACCTGGGACAAAATTGAATAAAAATTCTCCTGTAGAAAACACTTAAAAGGTTCATTCAACCAAAACAATTTGAAGTTTACTTCAGCCTCCCTAGAATTCTCATGATCACGGGGTTGTCCAGGCTGATTTCCCAGCCCACACTGACTGTCCAGGCTGATTTCCCAGCCCCCAGTGAGTATCCAGGCTGATTTCCCAGCCCACACTGACTGTCCAGGCTGATTTCCCAGCCCCAGTGACTGTCCAGGCTGATTTCCCAGCCCCAGTGACTATCCAAGATGATTTCCCAGCCCCAGTGACTGTCCAGGCTGATTTCCCAGCCCCAGTGACTATCCAGGCTGATTTCCCAGCCCCACTGACTGTCCAGGCTGATTTCCCAGCCCATAGTTGACTGTCCAAGATGATTTCCCAGCCCCACTGACTATCCAAGATGATTTCCCAGCCCCACTGACCATCCAGGCTGATTTCCCAGCCCCACTGACTGTCCAGGCTGATTTCCCAGCCCCAGTGACTGTCCAGGCTGATTTCCCAGCCCCACTGACTATCCAATATGATTTCCCAGCCCATACTGACTGTCCAGGCTGATTTCCCAGCCCCACTGACTATCCAATATGATTTCCCAGCCCCACTGACTGTCCAGGCTGATTTCCCAGCCCCAGTGACCATCCAGGCTGATTTCCCAGCCCCGGTGCCCACTGCCAGCCCTTCCCAAGGACAGCCCCTGCCAGACTCACCGAGTTGATGTCGATCCCCATGGAGGGCTGGCTCTGGCTGCCTGGAGGGGACTGGGGGATGGTGGAAGGTACCGTGACAGACAGAGGGGGGAGCTGGGGGCCCCTCTGCAGCCCCGAGCTCTGCAGCAGAGGGGGGGTCTGGGGCAGGGAACTGGCCACTGGTGGCTGCTGCTGCTGCTGGGAGCTGGTCTGGGTGAAAAAGGGGTACGGGGGGAGCTGCTGCTCCAGGGACAATGCATCCATGGCCACGGCCTGCAAAAGAAGGAGCAGGATCAGCCACGCTGGCAGGGGACTCCTCTTCACACCAAGAAAATGGAGTCAGACTTGGCTTGTGTTGTAAAAATGGCATCTAAAGGTTTAGAGAGTCAAGAAGCTGCTCTGAGATGTTCCTGTCCCTGGCAGAGGTGGATTGGATGAGGTTTAAGTTCCCTCCAAGCCAAACCATCCTGTATAAAACAATACTTTAAAAGCCCAGTTGAATCTCAAGGTCAGAAATCACCAACCTGGGCAGTCACAGAGCCACCATGAAATAGATTCTAAAAGTTAATTGAGTTTCTCTCACTAATAGAGAGAAATGGCTTTCAAATTTCACAGCTCACTTTGGGACAACACAAAAAAATGTGGTCTAAGAGATGGTTTTAGCACCGCTCTAGAAAAGGGGAAGTGAAATCTGTCCCCTCTACAAACCTCTCCTGTTTTAAGGCTCTGAATTAAGTAACACCTTTAAAACAGGAAATTATAGAACAAGAGATAAAGTTCATGGAATCATGGAATGGTTTTGACTGGAAAGGACCTTAAAGCTGATCTTGTCCCATGGGCAGGGACACTTTTTACAATCCCAGGCTTTCCCCAAACCCAGCCCAACCTGGCCTTGGACATTTCCAGGGATGGAGCAGCCACAGCTTCTCTGGGAATTCCATCCCATTCACCTCCCACTCCCCCAGCCAGGAATTCCTTCCCAATGCCCCCGTGGCTCTCTGATGAAGCAGACGAAGCCAATGAAGCTGTGATTGGAAAGCCTGAATTGCCCAGGCTCCTACCTGAGTGATGGGTGACAGCGGGGACAGCGTGGGGGACATTTGCTGGGACTGAGGCCGCCGCGAGTCCGTGCCCAAGGACAGGGGGCTGACGCTGGGCTGGCGGTGCTGGGACGGGGCCGGCGTCGTCGTCATTCCTGCTGGGAACAGAACCCCCCTCAGCAGGGACACAGCGCGGCCCTGCTGAGCTCTGTGCCCAAAACAACTCCCGAAACCCGGAGAGAAGAGCGGCCTGAGCGGGCACAGCCGAGGCGCCACGGCCCATCGGGCGGGAGCTCGTTAGGTGATTTGTAATTAATTTGGTCAGGCTGAAGAGCATCGGGATGAGAGGAAGAGTCCTGTGGGTTGTCCTGGCTCAGGCCCAGGCACGGCTGGTCGGGTTGGTGGCCAGGAGGAGGAATTGGAAGAGGCAGAGCAGCCTCAGCAGTTCCAGGCACCACAGGCCCTGCACTTGCCCTGCCCAGGAAGAGCAGGTTCTGTTTTCTTTGTGTGAGCTCAGACTCAGGGAATGAGATAACAAATCCTGGAACCAGGCTTATCAGAGGGCACTTGAGGTACTGCAAAAGCAAACACCTCTCGAATGGAAAAAGCAGAACTGGTTATGCAGGAAGAGCCCCGCTTTTAATGGCACAGCAGGGCAGGAAATGTCCACCACACTCCCAAGAGCCACGACCCAGCACATGATCGTTTTGTCCAGATCAAACCAAAAACCCGGGAGTTTAGAAACCTCCCCTCTTTCCTGCTTCACCCCAGAGGACGTGAGGGAAGGATCTGAGGCCAGGGCAGCGTGAGCTGCTCCCCAGAGCTGCCAGGGAGGAGCAGCTCCCGGGCACTGGCAGAGCTCAGGGCTCCAGGCAGGCTGCCAGCGAGCCAGGAAGGCCAGGATGCCAGGAGGCAGCAGGAGAAGGGGCTGTGGCCAGGCAGGTGCCCAGGCAGGTGCCCAGCCCGGCACTGGTTCCTCCTGGCCCCAGCTACTGGCACCCGGCCGGTGCCCACAGCCCCGGGCACTGAGCAGGGCACAGGAGCCTCCAGGGAGGTTTTAGCAGCAAGGGAAGGTTGGGAAAATGGGTTTGGAAAGAGGAAAAGCTGAGTGGGGCAACAGATGAAGTGTGGGGTCACCTGCAGAGAGAAGCTGGAATGACATCAGTGAGCAAATCCTGAATTTGGGCTGTCTTTGACTGATCAGGGAATGTTGTCAAAGCAGTTTCAGACTCGCCATTTTGGGTTTACATCATTTACTCTGCTAATTATGGGGAAAAAACTTGTGGAGATCCACTGTGGCTGAAATCCTGATTTCTAAACCCATCCCTGAAACTCTGCAGCCCAAAAAACTCTTCCAGGGATGATGAAAGTCCCCAAATGGTCAAACCCTTTAAATGGTTAAATTCTCTTTTCCTTCCCCAGCTGACCTGCTCAGCCAGCACCTGATCAGTCATTTCCTCCTCCCAACCCAGGAGAAGTGGGAAAGGGAATCCTGCCCAGCACAGGAAATATATTTGTAATTTTGGATACAACTCCTCATTTCTATTCTAGGAATCAACAGACTTGCAACTGTCACTGATAATTAAAAAAAAAAAAAAAAAAAAAAAACAAAAACCCTCTTAATCATTATTTATCAGTGAAATTACTTTTAAAATAACAATTAATAATTAAAATATTAATCAAGAATTGACTTCAAAAGGATCCTCACATGAAAAAAATTGCTTTTTTAAAGGAATGGAAACAAAAGGGCTTCTGGAAATATTCCCATAAAACACGGGATGGTGGGGGTCAGCACAGGGAATTCCAAGAGAGGAACAGCATAAAAACAATTTTTAAAAATTTAAAAAAAAATTTAAAATTGTAAAAAGACCCCAAAACCAATCCCACAAAAGCATCAAGAACAGGACATAAAGGTCTGTAACTAAACAGAAACTCCCAATTTTTTTTGTCCATATAATACAAAGCAGCAGTGAAGCCAAATTCCCTCTGGGAAATAATTCCCCAGATTTTAGGGCAGGTGTCTCCTGGAGATATTCCCATACCACAAGGGATGCTGGGGTTCAGCACGAGCAACTCCAAGTGACCAAAACATTAAAAATTCAAAACTTAAAAAAAACCCCAAACATTAAAAAGACCCAAAAATAAACCCCAAAAAACCACAGATTTGGGCATCAAGAACACAAGATAAAGGTCCTGTGGGTGAACACAAACTCTCATGTTTGCACGCCCTGGCAGCCGGGGGCTCACCCTGGATGGCAGAACCGATGCCCGGCTGGGTCAGGTTGCCAGCTGGGCTCCCGGCACTCCTGGCACTCCTGGCACTCCCTGGCAGTACCATGGGCAGTACCCTGGCAGTACCACAAGCTCACCGGGGCTGGCAGAGCCGATACCTGGCTGGGTCAGGCTGGCAGCCAGGCTCCCGGCACTCCTGGCACTCCCTGGCAGTACCATGGGCAGTACCCTGGCAGTACCATGGGCAGTACCACGGGCTCACCGGGGCTGGCAGAGCCGATGCCCAGCTGGGTCAGGTTGGCAGCCAGGCTCCCAGTGCCCCCAGCCCCCCATGGCTCACCGGGGCTGGCAGAGCCGATGCCCAGCTGGGTCAGGTTGGCAGCCAGGCTCCCGGCGCTGCCCGAGCTGCTGAGGGCAGGGAACGGCGCCTCCTCGGGGTCCAGCGGCGTGGGCAGCGGCGAGGGGAAGTGGATGTTGCTGAGGTCGGGCAGGGAGCCGCCCGTGCTGTGAGCGGCCGGCACCAGCGCCGCCGCGCCGCCCTCCTGCTCCGCCGACGGGAAAATGCTGCGCGGAGAGAACAAACTGGCATTCCGGGCCGCAGAGAGACTTCTACAGCTCATTTCCCAAGGAAATTTTATTAAGGTTTTTATTTGAATTTTTAACATTTAAATTTAAATTTTATTAAGATTATTTAAATTTTTTTTGAAAATTTTATTCAAATTTTTAAAATTTAAATTAAAATTTTACTCAAATTTTTAAATTTTAAACTAAAATTTTATTAAGCGTCTTTAAAATTTTAATTAAATTTTAATTAAATTTTAATTAAATTTTAATTAAACTTTTATTACTTTTTTATTAAATTTTTATTAAATTCTTTTAATTTTAAATTAAAATTTTATTAACATTTTTAAATTTTAAATTAAAATTTTATTAAGATTTTCTAAAACTTTTATTAAAATTTTATTAAGATTCTTTAATTATTAGGATTTTTCCTAAATTTTTATTAAAATTTTTTAAGTATTTTGAAATTTTTGTTAGAATTTTATGAAGATTATTAACGTTTTTTATTAAGGTTCTTTAAATTTTTTAATTAAAATTTTATTAATATTTTTTAAATTTATTAAAATTTTAGTAAGATTTTATAATATTTTTATTAAAATTTTACTAAGAGTTTTTAAATTAGTATTAAAATTTGTGGTTTTAAAAATGTATTTAACAAGAGAAATTCATGAAGAAGACTTTTTAAAGCTTTTTAAAATGTATTTAACAAGAAAATTTTAAGAAGAAAATTTTTCGAGCTCTTGGAAATGTTTTTAACAAGGAATTCCATAACGCAGATATTTTTGACTTTTAAAAATGCATTTAACAAAGAATTCCATAAAGAATATATTTTTATAAATATTTTTATGAAGTTTTTTGTAAGAATACATTTTTATGTAAGATTTTTTATATTCTTACATATTTTAGAATATTTTTTATATTTTAACATATTTTGTAACATATTTTTAGACTTTTTTTTTTTTGGTATTCTTATTCCTGGCCCTCAAAGGGTGTCGTTGTATACCCAGAACCTTCCCAGAAAATTCCAAAGCAAGAGGAAATTCCATCCCCAGTTTTTCTTAAGAGATCTCAGTGCTTTTAAAATAAAAATTGCTGAGGACTCACTTGATTCCTGGAACTTCACAGGATTTAGGTCTCGATGACCCAGCCTGAAATAAAAAGAGAAATATTTCAAACCAAAGATGCTGCTGGAGGGTATTGCCTCAGGGAGATTTCAATTTATCTGTTGAATTTCAGCATTTCTGTGCCAGATCTGGCAGCTCTTCGAAGATATTTATTATTTTTATCTCTTAAAAGATATTTTTCTTTTTTATTTTTGCTTTATTGACCCAACAAATTTTAAATTTCAGGAGTTTCTCCTCATACAAGTGAGGCTGTGTTCACACCCATCCAATGCTCCTTCTGCTCTAATGTTTATTTTTTGTGCTTAAACACAACATTTCATCTCCAACCTCACCTAGGTTATTAATTAAGCATTCATTTATCTTAATCTATTCAAAAAATAACATTTCCAGCCTTTGAAAGGTGCAATTCCCACCTTTTTAGTGTCCCAGCCTTGCTTAGAGAGGCTTTTGTCTGCATCAGAGGTGGTTTCTTCCATTCCAGGGACAGTCAGCAATAAAACTAAAAAAAGAAAAGAAAAGATTAATCATTAAAATAATTTTTAAAATATTAAAAATAATTTTAAAATAAAATAAAAATAATAAAAATAATTTTAAAATAATTAATAATCAATAATCTTCAGCTCCTTGGAAGTTGAACCTTTGGGAAAATCTTACGAAGTTTCAATTCTCAAGGAGGATGAAACAGTTGAATTCTGTTGTTGCAAGAGGAAATTCCATCCTTGGTTTTTCTCAGAGATCTCGGTGCTTTTAAAATAAAACCTGCTGAGAACTTACCTGATTCCTGGAAGTTCACAGGATTTCGGTGTTTGCTGGGTGTTTGGGGAAGGATTAATTCGGGAGTTTTATTTAGGATCGGGGCATTTGAAGGCTGGAAAACCCTTCGGGATGAGCAATTCCTGATTTTCCTGAGCTGGAGCTGGAGCAGGGCCCAGCAGAGGGCACCAGAACTGAGGGTGCCAGAGCTGCTCCAGCCTGGAATTCTTCTGGGATCCTCTGGAATTGCTCTGGGATCCAGCCTGGAATTCTTCTGGGATCCTTTGGAATTCTTCTGGGATCCTTTGGAATTCTGGGATCCTCTGGAATTGTTCTGGGATCCTCTGGAATTGCTCTGGGATCCAGACTGGAACTCTTCTGGGATCCTTTGGAATTCTTCTGGGATCCTTTGGAATTCTGGGATCCTCTGGAATTGTTCTGATCCTCTGGAATTGCTCTGGGATCCAGCCTGGAACTGTTCTGGGATCCAGCCTGGAACTGTCCTGGGATCCAGCCTGGAATTGTTCTGGGATCCAGCCTGGAATTGTTCTGGGATCCTCTGGAATTGTTCTGGGATCCAGCCTGGAATTGTTCTGGGATCCAGCCTGGAACTGTCCTGGGATCCAGCCTGGAATTGTTCTGGGATCCTCTGGAATTGTTCTGGGATCCTTTGGAATTTGCCTCCTCCCTGGGGATCCCCTCGACAGGTATAAACTGGAGGTGAAGCCTCTGCTCCTTCCCTGTGTGTCCCTGACTGGAATTTTTGGAATTCCAGCTGCTCCAGGAGCTCCAGGAGAGCTCAGAACTCAGCACCGGAGTCCCAGGGCAGGAATGACAAACTCTGGGGCTCAGGAAAATCTTCTCCCTTCGTTTTGTGCCATTTCTTCCTGGATTTCAGCACCCAGCAGGGTGAACGTGACCCAAGTGCTGTGTCACAGGAAGTGTCAGCACTCCTGAATTTTACAAAAACATGGAGCCCAAACCATGCTTATAAATATTTTTATCTTTTTTTTTATTTCATTTTTCTGCTCACCTCTTTTCTGCTGCATGTCCTGTGACCCTCCTGAAAAGGATTCCTGCTGAGCTGGAGTCATGGTGCTCTGGTGCAAGGCAGAATCAGAGTTTGTCCTGAGAGAAAGCAAAACCCACAATATTTTTATTGTCAGCTTCGCTCAATAAAATAATTTTCCTCTCAGATAAAAGCAACAACTCGGTAAAACCTCAATATTGTGCATTAAAACCCAAAACTCTCTATATGGCAGAAACCAGGCAGAATTTCCTTGTGAAACAATCAATTTGCAGAACAATTAGTTCAAGTTTGAAGAGCGATTGTTTCAATAATGGGATTGAGAGGAACACAGGATAAATTGGTTGCCCTTGTTAGAACAGAGTTTTATCTGCCTTGTTCAGATTAAACAAGATAAATAATGCCAATTTAAGCTGTTTAGCCATACTTTGGTTATTGTGGTGGTTAAAACAAACATTCCTGGCTGGGAGGAGGAGAAGGAATGGTTCAGGATGTTGTGGAGATGGGAATTTCCATGGCCAGCACAGCTCAGGATGAACTTTGTGAGTGTGGCCACCCTCAAAGTGTAACTCTGTGTTCCTTCCCACTGGAACATGCCCAGCCCAGTTTCTGCACCCAGAGAAATATCCAAGTCTTGGGCTGTGCCTAGGAACATCTGGATTTTTACAGCTTTTTAAGGAGTTTTACAGATTAAGGATTTACCTTTAAAAAGGTACCATTACATTCAAGTATCACTTGCAGGCACCTGGATTTTAAAGCTCATCTAACAGGAGCAGTACTGAATTGCAAGCTGAGTTTGTGACTTTGAAAAGGCAGAGTTGCAAGCTGCTGCAGGGTCAGAGAACAGCCCCAGGAGTGGCACCCACCTCCTCCAGCTCGTGTCCGACGGCGGTGACAGGTACACGGTGCCATAGGGGCAGCTGTCCACGTGGGCCAGGGTTAAGGCAGCAACACTTCCCACTCCAGCAGGACTTCTCTTCCCAAGAATAATTCCAATCATCCCGTCAGAGCCACTAAACTTACAGATTCTCTACGGGGAACTGTAAAAGGATCTCAACCCAAAGTGTTATTTGGATTGTTGGAATGTCTGAGCAGTAAAAATCCTCCCACCTTTTCCATGGATTTAACTGCTGGTGCCTCCACCCTCCTGTCACACATCCCCTCCAGCCCCAGGTGATTTTAAATCTGTCAGAAAGGCTCAGCTCATCCCCATCCCCAAATGCCAACAGCACGAACCAGCCTGCACTGAAATGCACGAGGAGCTGCAAAGGAGAACCCTGGGCTCGGCTTGCTCAGCTCTGAGGGAAACTCCATTTCCCCAGGACAGCCCTGACCTTTCCAGGAATCCTGGAATTGTTTGGGTTGCAAGGAGAGGACCCAGAGCTGACAGGGTGCACCCAATCCCACTGTCCTTGTCACCCTTAAATGTCCCCAGACCAGCTCTGAGGACACCACTTGTCACTGGTGTGCGCTTGGACACTGAGCTGGGACCAGAACCCTTTGGACACATCCATCCAGTCAACTCCTGATCCACTGCTCCATCCTTCAAGCCCAGTTTAGACACTGGATATTCCGTGGGTCAGAGCCAAATGCCTCACACGAGCCCAGCTGAGGATGGCAGCAGCCCCATCAGAGAAGGCCACCAAACTGACAGGGCACCCGTGCCCTGCGTGAGCCCTGCTGGGTGCCCCGATCCCTGCAGCTGCACGGGGATCATCCCCACGGGAGGCTGAGCGAAGGTGAGCCCTGACTTTACAAACAGGAGCTGTTTTGGGAACAGATCATGGCTTGGGAAAAGCAGGGACATGGAGCTGGGAAGTGACTCCGCTGCTGGGGGAGAGGGGAGCAGAAGGGACCTGTGCTGGTGCTGTGGCACCCTCGGGGAGCAGAGGGGAGGGATGTTGGTGGTGTGGCACCCATGGGGAACAGAGGGGAGGGATGCTGGTGGTGTGGCACCCATGGGGAGCAGAGGGGAGGGATGCTGGTGGGGTGGCACCCCTGGGGAGCAGAGGGGAGGGATGCTGGTGGTGTGGCACCCTCGGGGAGCAGAGGGGAGGGATGCTGGTGGTGTGGCACCCTCGGGGAGCAGAGGGGAGGGATGCTGGTGGTGTGGCACCCCTGGGGAGCAGAGGGGAGGGATGTTGGTGGTGTGGCACCCATGGGGAGCAGAAGGGACCTGTGGTGGTGGTGTGGCACCCATGGGGAGCAGAGGGGAGGGATGCTGGTGGTGTGGCACCCATGGGGAGCAGAGGAGAGGGATGCTGGTGGTGTGGCACCCTCGGGGAGCAGAGGGGAGGGATGCTGGTGGGGTGGCACCCCCGGGGAGCAGAGGGGAGGGATGCTGGCTGCCCTGCTCCCAAGGATATCTGCCGGCCGTGCTTGTCCACGGAGAGCGGGCGGCGGTGGGGCGAGCCCAGGCGGTTCCGCTCCCGGTACACTCTGTCCACCAGCCCGTGGTGCCGCGTGGTCCTGCTCGTGTCCAGCGCCGACGACTGGAACGGGGTCTGGGAGAGACACAGGGGTTAGACAGGGAAACAGCCCCAGCCTGCCCAGAGCCTCCTCCTCCTCCTCCTCCTCCTCCTCCTGTGCCAGGCTGGCTCGCTCCAAGGCATCACTCAGAACGAGAGGTGCACCTTGCGTGGTTTTGCTTTTCCTCCGACAGCTTTTTGGGAAAGCTGCCTCCTCCAGAGGGGCCATGCTGGAGCTGCCCTCACTCCCGGGCAGCCCTGAAGCCCCGGGCTGAGGTGGCAGGAGTGCCAGCCGCTGCCACATGCCCTTGGTGCAGCATGCAGGGTGCACGGGAGGAACATGCCGACATCCAGAGCCCAGCCCGGGGCAGGAGATGCAGGGAGGGGCTGCACGCTGAGCTCAGCATTCCCCAGGCCACGCTGCCTGCTCCCAGGCTGCCTCTCACCCCTCCTTGCAGCAGATTTATTTCAAGGGGACACTGAGAGAATGAAAAGAAAAAGAAAAGCAGTTTCCTTCCTCCTCTGTCGGATGGTTTTGAAGTGATTTTCAGCTCCTTCAGTGACCCGAGGTGGGATGATCCCACCTGGACTCTTATCTCACCGACATCCTGAGCAGATGAGCTCAGAGCAGGAGGATGGCAGGGGAAGGACAGGGAAGATGAATTCCCAGGCTAAACTGGAAAACTTTCACATTTTCCACAGCCCTTCCCAGGCTGTACCGGGGGGACAGAGGAAGTATCGAGGGGTCAATCTCTGCTCGTACTCCACCAGCAATTTATGGGTCTCCAGGGAGAAAAATCCTCCCCAGCCCTGCGCTCCCTGCCAATGTGAACAGCTTTGCTGAGTCCCTCAACACCATCTGTTTGGAAATCCAAAATTTCCTCCTCCATTCAGGTGCTGCACGTGGCAAATGCACTGTCCTGTCTGCCAAGCCATGAAACCATCTGGCTTCCACATTCATCCCTTTTTTCTTTTTTTTTTTTTGCTTTTCTTTTTTTTCCAAGTGTCAGCTTTGGCTGTTGAAAAGATTATTTCTATAAAGCTTTGCATTTATTTTGAAAGGCTTTGTTTGTATGAACTTTTAAAAGAGTCTTTCTACTATTTTAAACTCTTTTCTCTTCAGCAAACATTGGGCTCCTCACCCTCTCTGCACACACAGGCTGTGTTAACAGAGCTGCAGAGGGGCTGTGGTGTTTATTTTCTCATTTCAGGGCCAACATTTTATATGCAGCAGAATATTTAAGGCAACAGGGGACTAGAAAGGAGCCCAGTGACTTTTTACAGGACTTCAAATCATGAGGTTTGTTCCTCACTTCCTCACTTGGCTGAGAAATCTCAAACAGAATCTCAATTTTAAGGGTTTTAAATTCAAACACGGTGCTTTAATCTCTGCTGCAAGCACTGAGCAACAATCCCCACACACAAGTGGGAATATTCATCATTCCAAAGTGACAAAAGGTCTCAAACTCCTCCTTTTTTCTGTTGTTACAGCCCAAAAGGCAGCAAAACTTGCAAATACGTGCTTGGAAGGTCAACAGGAAAAGCAATTTCCTATGTCAGTGGTGTCAGCACAGTGCTGCTAAAAAAGGAGCAGCCAGCCCTGAGCACAGGGCTCACCTGGAATTTAAAGGGAGGCAAAGTATAAAATTATAAAGACAAAAAGTTCCATGTAAAAACAGCTATTTCTTAGGATTTTTACCTTTTATTGGCATGATTTCCTTGTTAAAAACACAATAAAAATCTCATTTGAGTGCAGCAGCGGCACAAATAAACACAGAATGTGTCCCAGATCAGGGCTACAGTTTATAGAAAGAGGGATTTTGGGGCAGTGCTGTTCCCTGCCTTTCCAGGAACCCAGATCCCAAAAGAATCCTGAATTTAGGGGAACAGAAAACACCTGAGGAAATGGGTATCGCCTCCAACAGGTCTGGCTTCTCTCAGCAACCTTCCTATAAAATTTATTAAGGGCCAAACAGCAGGACAGTGTTCCTGGATTAAAATTCCCCATCTCTGCAAGGCAGCAGATATTTAACTCTAGGGAAAAAAATGGATTAAAAGCTATTAATAGATGTGAGCATTGATTGTATTTGGGAAAATGAAGAACTGAAAGGGTTTCACTCCCCTGAAAAACATTCAAGGGTTTGAGAGCAGACACAAAACCCCCCAAACCATGAAAAAAGCAGCTCAGTACAGACAGGAAGGAAAAAGCTCAGTGCTCTCCAAGTGTCCTTTGAGGATTTATTGGGAAATAAACCCAGGTGAGGTGGATGAGGGGGAAGGAGGAGTGGTACCTACTGCTGGTTGGTATTTTGGTGCCTCCTGGTGCCAAGCAGGATTTGGGAATTCATTCTGCCCTTCCCCATGGATTTAAACATGCAGGCTGAGTGCACATGCTCAGAGATCGCTGAAACCACAGGCCAAGACGGAATAATCCACCGGCTGCACCAAAGAAACCCCCAAAAAACCAGAATAACCACATGACAGCAAGTCCGGGGAGTCTGCACAGGAATTATTTGCACGTTCCAGACTGGGATGCACGGCAAAACCTGGATTTGTGTGGCAGCCCTGCAGTCCTGTGGAGCTGGGGTGAACCAAATAAATCCTGTGTGCAGCAGAGCGGGTGTGCAGAAATACGTATCCACCTGGGCAAACAGGACCAGTCCTAAATACGTATTTGCACAAACCTAAAAACTTGTTTACCAAAGAGACAGGAACTGCTCCAAAGGCTTCAGCCAGAGCTCCGTTGTGCTGCAAATCAAAGAAGCAGAAGATGCTCAGACACCAACGCTCTCAGCAGGCACAACCACCCAGGCTCTGCCTTCACACCACCCCAGAGCCGCTCGCAGTCGTGGCTGGAAAAACCTGGGAAGCTTTTCCCCCCTGCTACAAACACATGGGGCTGTTTTGTTGCTTGTCACCATTTGTTATCTGGAACAACATCAATTTGGGGTTTTTTTTAGAGTGTGTGTGTGGAAAAAAATAAAGCAAACCCCAGGGTTTAAGGATAGTTTGTTTCTGTCTCCTCCTCCAGTCATTCATAAATTTTTGAATATTCCCTTTTCAGCAGTCAGGATTAAAACAGTCCAGGTAAAATACTGAAATACTGAAATGTTATTGTTTAAAAGGAATTCTTAATCCCCTTAACAAAAAGCTGAAGAGAAAAGCTTGAACAGAGCAGACATTGTGGAGTAACACTGGGGACTTCAATCCGCTACAAACCTCTGCTCTGTATTCCACAAGGAATGAAAGATTAAAATAGACTTTTGCCTCTCCTGTGGCACAAGATTCAAGGTTTTAACCTGCCCAAATTCAGCTGTCTGCACCTATTTCAAGAAGCAGTTAGAGGAGGTCAGCAAGAGTTTCTCCATCTTTATTAAACAGCCTTCATCAGAAAACCACAAACTGCAAAATTTCCTTCCCACCACATCCTCGTGAGCTCAACCGTAACTCTGACTGCTCAAAGAAGGAAAACTGATGCAGAAATGTTCATTATTTTGACCACTCTAAATCAATTAAATGTGCAAATCAGGAGTCCACAAAGGATCCACCAACTAATCCTGTCCTTGGACAACATCCTCTGTCCAAACATGCTTCACACAGCAAAATATTCACCTGAAACTCTGATTTTCTGTTTAAGGTGCATCGTCCCTGGAGTCACAAAACTCAGCCAGGACATTCTTACCTTTCCTTTCCAGCCAACCCAAAAAAAAAGTGATTATTCTGATACCACTTTGTGTCCCACTGCTCTTGTCCTCTCCCAAAATTCCTCCCACAGAACATGCACATTGATTCCTCCACCCCCCAGCCCCCAACATCATCTTTATTTCCTCCCATTTTGCTTTGCATTTACAGCATCTTGCCAGATTTCATCAGGAATGGCATCTCTCAGAGTATTCCTGACCCCAAAGCCTCACAACCAGGGACAGGAGAATTAAAATCTACACAATCAACATAAAAAATACCCACACATCCCAACCCCACCCGAAGTTTTTAAATCAGGGTGCTGCCTCCTGGACAAGCAGCTGCCTGGGAGGGCACAGCAAATCCAAGGAAAAAGCCTCTGAACTCACCTGGAAGGGGAGATCCATGGCACTGTTCCCAATCTGGTTCACATTTGGCAATGACCCCCCATAGTACTGGCCACGGCTCTGCCCCAGTTGCAAATATTGGGTTTTCTGCAGCTGTAGCTGAAAGAAAAGAAGGAAGAAAATACAATTTCAACTCTTATAACCAGCACAACTTGACACTGCGATCACTGAGAATGGAAAGCATTAAAAGGCATCAATCCAACTTTTACAAAGGAGGGTCGACCTTCCCCACAAGTTTCTTGCAGCAGGAAAAGCCCTGGAGAAAGGACAGGGAGAGATTTCCAAGGAAAAGGCAAAGCCAGGTTTTCAAACAAAGGACAGAGAGGTTCTCACAGAAAACCCCTTCAGCCAAGGAATAACCAAACCACCACCAGGAATTCCCGTGGGACAGGTGCACATGGATGGTCTGCAGAGCTTCCCTGAATTCCAGCTATTACTGCCCAGTGAAATATTCCAGGTGTCTGCCCAGAGCTGGAGACATTGCTGGGATGCTGAGGGGTGCTCAGGGTGTTCTGGGGTGCTCAGGGATGTTACGGGGTGCTCAGGGATGTTCAGGGGTGTTATGTGGTGCTCAGGGATGTTCAGGGGTGCTCAGAGGAGCTCAGGGATGTTCTGGGGTGCTCAGGGATGTTCAGGGGTGCTCAGAGGAGCCCAGAGGAGCTCAGGGGTGCTCAGGAGTGCTCAAGGATGTTCAAGCATGTTCAGGGATGCTCCAGGTGCCCACCCCACACTGCCAGCACCCAGGCAGGGTTGCAGAGAAAAGGCCCAGCCTGTTTACTCCAAGCCATTACTTAGGGGAGTATCCACGGAGGATCACAGAATTCCAGAACGATCTGGGTTGGAAGTGACTTTAAGGATCATCTCATCCCAGCCCTGCCATGGCAGGGACACCTCCCACCATCCCAGGCTGCTCCAGCCTGGCCTTGGGCACTGCCAGGGATCCAGGGGCATCCACAGCTGCTCTGGGAATTCCATCCCAGGGAGGAATTTTACATTAGAACAGTCCCTGAGTACAAGCTCACCCTGAGGACAGCTCACGCATTTTCCTGACATTCAAACAGTTCCTAGAAAACTCAAATACTCTTTATACAGAGAAGTTCCCCCAGAATCCAGCAATTTCCAACTGCACAGAATCTCTGGGCTTGAGCTGAGGGACCAAAGTAACCCTGACTTAGGAGTGACTCTGGAGACGAAACCTCCCCACGGAGCATGGAATGCCAGAATCAGGAAAACAGCTCCAAGGTCCTGTCCAGCCTTTGCCAGGGTGCTCCAAAGCCTCAGCTCTTAGGGCAAGACACATCCCACAAAGTGGTTGAGGGCAGATAAACCCCTCAGGCTGAAGATTTGTAAAATATTCCCAGTTTTCCCAATCAAATGCCTCGGAAAGGTCCCATGTGAGGAGCAGGAAAGGCCCCTTTGCTTTTCTTGTGCAATATTTTGCCACGCAATTCCTGAAGCAAGACATGAAATTAGAGAAACCCTGTGTTAGTATCACCTAATGAGTCACAGCCCCTCCAACTCAGAGCACAAAAAGCACAATATCAGAACTAGCTGTGCTTTTTCCCTGGCCCCTGCATATGTTTTTGTTGTTAAAAAAAATAGGAAAAAAAAAAAAAAGCGCCTTTTTGGGATTTGGGCCAAACATTGAAGTAACTATTTCAACAGGTGTTGGTTTCCTTTCAAGAACCTCCAAAAGGCACCCAGGGAGGAGGGGGTGGCTTTGTGTTTTTTTAGGATTTTGGGTTTTTCTCAGGATATTCCCACCTCAAAGCAGCACAGCCCAGGGAGGTCAGGAGCATTTATCTTTCTGCTGCACTTCCATGGCAATGAGGCGACCCCAGCGCTGGGGAACGGGGCTGTTCAGTGCCTTGGCTGCAGCAGTGATTTTAGCAGGATAAAGGCTGCTGGAGCTGCGTGCCAGAAACCAGAGCAGCGATTGCAGCTCCCATCCATCAGCACACGGGAGAGCCGGGCTGGCCGCTCCGCTCAGCTCCTGCAGCCCCAGGCCCCGCAGCTCCTGCAGCTCCTGCAGCCCATCAACAACTGCCACTCGCAATCTGCGGAGATCGAGTGGAAGCAGAGCAGGATTTGTGTCCTGAGCGCCTCCAGCTCCGCCTCTGAGCTGGAAGAAAACTGTGAATCTGAGGAGATGGAAGAAAACTTTGTTTGAATCTGAGGAGCTTGAAGAAAACTTTGTTTGAACCTTAGGAGCTTGAAGAAAACTTTGTTTGAATCTCAGGAGCTTGCTGTCACTCCAGCAGGAAATCAGGAGTGAAATCAGCTCTGGTTTTTCCTTTCTCTGCAAACAAAAAAAAAAAAAAAAGCTGCAAATTTCTCTCAGATAATTCAGTGGGAAGCAGCATCAAAATCCAGAATAAAAGTTTGGGAAGGGACCTTAAATATTATTTAATTTCACTATGCCAGGGTGCTCCAGCGGGCCTTGGACACTTCCAGGGATGGGAAATCCACAATTTCTCTGGGCAGTCTGTGCCAGGGCCTCCCCACCCCTCAGGAAAACAGACGCTGGGACCAAAATGAAATTTCATTTTCCTCTCCATCCACCCTGCGAGGAGGAGCAGGTACATGGCACAACTGGGGATGAGGATTTGAGATGGGTTTGAATTGAAAAGAAAATAACAAAAAGGAGAAGCCTTTTCTTAGCAGAAAAATTCCAATTACTCTGGAAATGTTAACAAGTCCCAGGGCAGCCCCAGGGTTATCTCCTGGGGTTGGATTCAATTAGTGCCATTTGGATTCTGGATGAATTAGACAGGGGAGGATGATAAGGAATTACTGAGTGCTCACCAGATTTATTAATTTCATGAACACCAGAACTTGGTGGCTCTACACTGCAGCTTTTCCATTTCTCTGTGGTGTGGCCAAGAGCAGCTCCCTGACAGCTGAAAATATTGCTAAATATCCCAGCCCCTTCCCCAGGAAGCTTTTGGTAAGGAAGCAGCTTTTGCTCGTTAAACCACTTTATTTCTACTTGATTTTCTTGTTCTTTTCTTCTTGTTCATTTCTTCTTTTTCTGAAGAAATGCTCCCCAAACACCAGGTCCAAATGGAATTTGTAATTTTCCTTCCACCAGCCTTTCTCTTATTCCACTTAACTTTAAATTGTCTTTTTTTTTTTTCTTTAAAATACAATTTAATCATGAAAAATCACATAATTGACGTGAACATTTATGTGAAATACATCAATTTTTCCATTTGGGTTACCATTTGCTGGACACACAGCTGTGTTTGTAGGGAGAGATTCAAGTTCTACAATTAAAAAAATAATAAATAAAGACAGAAACAAAACCTTAAATACAAATCCAGTTTTTCTACAGATTTTCTAATATGCAGATAGGAATTAAATGAAGCAATACTTCAAGTTACTGAAATTCTTCCCTGAAAAATTCTGAGTAAATTACAAATTTGTGGGCAGTACCTACTGGGAAGTTTGGCAGTTTTGGCACTGTAAATAACCCAAATCCACAGTAAAGGTTTTTCTTAAAATGCCTTTTTTAACAGACGAAACGTGGACTGCCAGAACGATAATAAAAGGGTGGAGTGTCCGTTTGATAAAACCCCAGATATCTGATGACTACAGGAAGCAAAGATTTGGTGATAACAGCTTTTGCACTGCCTTGCAGTTTCCACACCGAGCTTTCTTATAATTTCATTTTTTACCCTTAAAAAAAAAACCCTTCTTCTTTAGCACCTCCAGCCTAATAAGCGGCAAAATCAGCGCAGATTAAAATTAGAAAATAATTATTAAAGCTTAATTAGGATTTAGAGGGAGTTTTAGAGGCTGCATGACTGGGAAATGCCCTTGTGCCAAGCTGGGTTTGCTTGGACAGGGATGGATTTCCCAGGAATTCCCACCTGGAGCAGCCAGCCCTGCTGCAGGATTTGGGATTTGGGATTTGGGATGTCAGGAACTTCCAGAGAGGAAGCAGGAGAAAAAGAGGCTCCCCAAATCCTGGGCTTAACCAGCAAATCAAACAAACCCATCCCAGGGGACTGGTCCTCGTGTAGATAAGAAAAGCAAATAAAAGCTCAAAAAGAAAGAGACTTAACAGCATTTAATGACTGGGGGTTAGATTTAGTGGCAGCGCTGCCACCAGCTACAAATCACCTCATTAATCCTTTAATTATTTCAAAAGTTCTTTAAGGTGCCAAAAACTCTCCAAACACCCAGACTTTGGCTTCTCAAGGGAACCTTTTTCTGTTAACAGTCCAAAATTCACATTAAAATTTGAATTTTAAAAACTCAACGCTTGCTACTCAAATTACTACTAAAATTTGCGTAGCAATGAATAAACATTGAAAATACAAATGAATACACATTGAAATAACTGCTCGTTTGTGAGCCCACCCTCCCTGAAAACTGCCTGGGATTTCTTTAATGCAACGAGGAAAGAATCACAAATGAATAAGACAAAATCCTGGTAAACCAAGGAAAAAGGAATTTCTGTGTTGGCCACACTTTTGTTAATTCCAGCAGCTGCCAGCGCCTCTCCACATCCCCGAGCTGAGAATTAAAATCAATAGTGAGCAGACACAAAGTTCTGAGCACAGAACAAGTTCCAGGGGCGGAGGAGTTGGTTTTAGATCCCAAACTGTTCCCATCTCAGGGATTCTCCTGGGAAATGGGAATAATCCCAGCAGGGGGAGTTTGGATTTTTTGTTCTGGAACTCCTCACAGTCCCTCCCTGCAGGTTTAATTCTCCCATCAGCAACTCAAAGTTTGAGTGGAGCTCCAAGCCTGGAGCAATCCAGGGAAAAGTGGGGATAAATGAAGGTATTCCAAATATTCCAGCCACCAGCACCTCTGGATCCCACCTGGGGAGTGAGGATAAATGAATTAAAATATCCTGCTGCTCCCAGAGGAGATGAATGAAGCCTGGGAAGACTTTTGGACTTTTTAATCTCTATAACGCTTTTAAAGCTTGGGTGAATACTGCTTGTTTTTATAATTTTATCATGTTTTGGATAATTTATTGCAAATAATTACAAATACTTTCATTATTTACATGTTACTGATATAAATTCAGTCATGCTGTTATCAAATATTCAATAGGTGGCTGAAGAGATAGATTTGCAAGTTTA